ACTTAAGAATTACAAAGGGACAAGTGCTGACTTTATGGAGGAGAAACCTGCCGAACTGTATATGGGTTCACCTCCTGCACTTCCTAATGTCATGCACTTGAAAGGACACAACATCATTTTCCTTTTGCCTTTACGTGCACTTAGGTTGAAGGACATCTTGCAGAAAGTAAAAAGCTTGTGCTCTTTAAAACTGATTCCTGAAAGCCAAGGCAAGACAAAGGAACTACCCAGATTAAAGGAGACTGTAGATATGTGACAACCAAATGCAATATGTAATCCTGGATCAAAAAGGGCAGATATATTATTGGTGAAATTGGAAAGGTACCTGTGATTTGAATAGTGGTGTCGATTTGCTGTTTAGAATAGTGTATTAGTTTGCTAGGACTGTTGTAACAGACTGGGTGGCTTAAACAATAGAAATTTATTGTCTCACAGTTCTGAAGGCAGAAGTCCAAAGTCATAGTGTTGGCAGGCTTGGTTCTTTCTGAATGATGATACGAGAGAAAAGTCTATTCCATGCCTCTCCCCTAGATTCTGGTGGTTTGCTGGCAATCTTTGGCATTCCTTGGCTTGTAGACACATCAACCGTATCTCTGCCTCCATGTACACATGGTATTCTCATTGTACGCAGATCTGGGTCCAAATTTCCCCTTTTTGTAATGACATTAGTCATATTGGATTAGGAGTACACTTTACTGCAATATGACCTCATCTTAATTAATCCAATTACATCTTCAATGACCTCATTGCCACATAAGGTCACATTCTTTTTTTTTTTTTAATTAAAATTTTTAAATTTACATGCAAACTAGTTAGCATCTAGTGCAACAATGATTTCAGGAGTAGATTCCTTAATGTCCCTTACCCATTTAGCCCCTCCCCCCTCCCACAACCCCTCCAGTAAACCTCTGTTTGTTCTCCATATTTAAGAGTCTCTTATGTTTTATCCCCCTCCCTGTTCTTATATTATTTTTGCTTCCCTTCCCTTGTGTTCATCTGTTCTGTGTCTTAAAGTCCTCATATGAGTGAAGTCATATGATTTTTGTATTTCTCTGACTGACTGATTTCACTTAGCATAATACCCTCCAGTTCCATCCACATAGTTGCAAATGGCAAGATTTCATTCTTTTTGATTGCCGAGTAATATTCCATTGTATATATACACCACATCTTCTTTATCCATTCATCCATCGATGGACATTTGGGCTCTTTCCATACTTTGGCTATTGTTGACAGTGCTGCTATAAACATTGGGGTGCATATGCCCCTTTGAAACAGCATATCTGTATCCCTTGGATAAATGCCTAGTAGTGCAATTGCTGGGTTGTAGGGTAGTTCTATTTTTAATTTTTTGAGGAGCCTCTGTACTGTTTTCCAGAGTGGCTGCACCAGCTTGCATTGCCACCAACAATGCAAAAGAGATCCTCTCTTTCCACATCCTCGCCAATAGCTGTTGTTGCCTGAGTTGTTAATGTGTGCCATTCTGACAGGTGTGAGGTGGTATCTCATTGTGGTTTTGATTTGTATTTCCCTGACGATGAGTGTTGTTGAGCATTTTTTCATGTGTCAGCTGGCCATCTGGATGTCTTCCAGTCACGTCTTTTGCCCAATAAGGTCACATTCTTAAGACACTGAGGATTAGGACTTCAATATATGAATTTTATGTGTCAAAATGCAACCCCTAACAGATAGTTATATTGGGGTTGAGAGAAATGAGCACATATATCCACATGTAGAATAGGGGAATTAGGGTGAAAAAGATACCAGAGTTTTTGATACCATTCTTTTTTTTTTTTTAAGTAGGCTTCATGCCCAGCACAGAGCCCAAAGTGGGGCTAGAACTCATAATCTGAGATTAAGACCTGAGCTGAGATTAAGAGTCAGATGTTTAACCAACTGAGCCACCCAGGTGCCCCTTCTTGATACCATTCTTAAATGTTTTCTGTAAATTTGAAATTATTTCAAAATTTAAAAAAAATCCATTGAGGTGCTGGGTTTATATATTACACAAGACCTTGGTGCTAAACCTATCATGTAGAAGGAAAGATAAAGGTGTTTGTATAGCCTCATCATCAGGGAAATACAAATCAAAACCATGGTGAGATACCACCTCACACCCATCACGATGGCTAAAATTAACAACACAGGAAACAACAGATGTTGGTGCAGATGTGGAGAAAGGGGAACCCTCTTACACTGTTGGTGGGAATGCAAACTGGTGCAACCACTCCAGAAAACAGTATGGAGGTTCTTTCCTCAAAATGTTAAAAATAGAACTACCCTATGATACAAAAATACAAATTTGAAGCAGTACATGTACCCTGATGTTTATAGCACCATTATCAACAATAGCAAAACTGTGTACAATGTTTTTTTTTTAATGTTTCTTTCTTCTTTATTTTGAGAGAGTGAGAGAGAGAAAGCATGAGCATGAGGGGGAGGGACAGAGAGAGAGAGGGAGAAAGAGAATCCCAAGCAGGCTCTGAGCTGTTAACACAGAGCCCAACTCCAGGTCGATCTCATGAATGTGATCATGACCTGAGTTGAAATCAAGACGCTTAACTGACTGAACCACCCAGGCCCCCCAACAATAGACAAACTATGGAAACAGCCCAAATGTCCATCAACTGATGAATGGATAAAGAAGATGTGGTATATATATGATGGAATATTACTCAGTCATCAAAAAGAATGAACTCTTGCCATTTGCAATGACATGCATGGAGCTAGAGTGTGTTATGCTAAGCAAAATAAGTCAGAGAAGGACAAATACCATATGATTCCACTCATATGTGGAATTTAAGAAACAAAACAGATGAACATAGGGAATGGGGAAAAAGAGAGAGGAAGCAAACCATAAGAGATTGCTTTTTTTTTGTTTTTTTTTTTTTTTTTGTTTTTTTTTTTTTTAGTGTGAGACAGAGAGGCTGTGAGTGAGGGAGAGGGGCAGAGGGATAGAGAGAATATTTGTTTTAATTTTTTATTTTAGAGAGAGAGTGGGGGAGAGGGGCAGAGGGGGGAGAGAGAGAGAGACAGAGAGAGAAAGAGAGAGAGGGAGAGAGAGTGAGAATTCCAAATAGGCTCCACAGGTGTGGAGCCTGATGTGGAGCTGGATCCCACGACTCTGGGATCATGACCTGAGCCAAAAGCAAGGGTTGGATGCTCAAACAATTGAGCCACCCATGTGCCCCAAGCGACTCTTAACAATAGAGAACAAACTGAGGGTTGATGGAGGGAGGTTGATGGGCTAAATGGGTGATGAGTATTAAGGAGGGCACTTGTTATGATGAGCACTGGGTGTTGTACGTAAGTGATGAATTACTGAATTCTACTTGAGTCCAATATTGTGCTATAATATTAACTAACTAGAATTTAAATTAAAATTTGAAAAAGAAAAGGTGTTTGTGTAGCCTTATTGTAAACTTGTCTGAGACATAAGTGAGGGTATCAGAAATTAATATGTTATATTAATATAGCACTTCACAATTTACAAACAAAAACAAAACAAACCCCTTATTTTATTTGTCCCTTATAACAATTTTGTGAAGCAAGAGATTTCTCAGTTTTATAAAAAAAGTTCAGTGACTTCCTCAAGATGACACTCACAAACAGGTAATAGATAAACTGAGGCATATTAAAAATTCAAAGCGTTTATTTGAGTAAAAATGGATTTGAGGGGAGCCTGGGTGGCTCAGTCAGTTGAGCGACCGACTTCAGTTCAGGTCATGATCTCATGGTTTGTGAGTTCAAGTCTCGAATCAGCTCTCTGCTGTTAGCACAGAGCCTGCTTCAGATCCTCTGTTTCCTTCTCTCTGCCCCTCCCCAACTTGTATGCACACTCTCTCTCTCTCCTTCTCTCTGAATGAATGAATGAATGAATGAATGGATTTGAATGGGGTAGCACCAAACCAAAAGCGCTTAGGCACATTCTGCAGACAGGAGCCAGGGGAAAGACTTATACAAATAAAGTCCAGAAGCAAAGAAAAGCAATTATTTGTCTGGCTATAACTTAAAGCCTCGTTGACTGTGATTGTCTTCAGCATTTTGATTTCCAAACCTTGGGGAATTTACAGGCTTAGATTTGGGTTTGCTAATGCAGTCTAATGGCCACCTTGTTTAATTAACACAAGTCCTAAGTGATTAGTTTGACTCCATCTAGGTTTTTTGACTCTTAGAGCAACCCTCTTGTGGCGACAGCAAACAATAACAGAAGTTGGCTGTAAACAAAATCGTGGCATCGTTTGTACCCTTTTGCGGGTGAGCAAGGTCTTCCCATTAGGTCAAAATGAAGTTTAGGTAAGAGATCCTAAAGGTTCCATGCATGAGGTCCACAACCATACATTGCTCCCTCCACTGGCTACCCTACCCCCGTACTGCCCCACTTATCCCAGGGGGTCCTCAGGTCTCCACATGGGCCTTGGGGCCAGTGCCTAGGGAACAGGGCCAAGAAGAGGCCTTCAACCCTTGCCCCAACGACAGCCTCCTGGAGGACACTCCCAACCAACAACTCTTTAATCACCACCCCTCTCCCATATTATCGCGCCAACACTTAAGTCCCAACTACACACTCTGGCTCCGCTGTCCAATCACGATCTTTCTTTTTCTATAGACCCCCGAGAGCCCTTCCCCCAGGCCTCCTCCCACCACCCAAGGTAAAGCTGGAAAGGGCTGACAGCGGCTCACCGTGGCACATCAGCTACAATTGCTCAGCCTCTGTCTGTAGGGGCGAAAGACGTGGGGCCTTGAACCTGGAGACCCAGAATGACTCCAGCAGTCGTTCCAGCTCGCCTGGCTCCGTGTTGCGAAGACACAGTTGCAGTAAAGGCGGACAGACTTTAGGAATCACTTAGTCCAGACCATTCACATTGCACGGGATGATTATACGATTGCCTCCTTTCTGTCTTTGATGGGGGAATTAGGGTCAACCCAAGCAGGTTCAGGGCTTGCTGCTGCCATGCCCCTTAATCCCAGCGTTGCTGAGCAAGGGCTCCCATCCCAGCCCCGCTGATCCAGTCAGCTGTCAGCTGTGAGTTAGTATGGCGGAGGAGGAAGGCGATGTGGCTGAGGAGGATGTGTTCCTGGCGTTTGCCAGGCGTCCTTGTCCTCCCAGAGGTCCCCTGCGTCGGGCCTTGGACAAGGCCTTCTTTATCTTCCTGGTCCTCTTCCTGATGCTACTGACACTGGAGGCTGTTTATAAGCTGCTGTGGCTGCTACCGTGGGCAAAGTTTGGGGACTGGCTCCTGAGAACACCTCAGAAGGAGGAGGAGCTGGAATTGTGACCACCTTTCCTATAAACATTGTCTTCCCCTGCGACAGAGGTGAGAGGTGGGGACAAGAGGGAAATGGAATGTAGGGGGCTGTGGAGGGGACACTTGCACAGCTGTCTTAAAATTTTTGCATCTATACTCTGGGAAAATTTTTTGAAAAGGTTTGTACTTCTCACATATGCTTAAGTAATCATCTACAGTTTTTCATCATAAATGAAAATTGTTTCAAGGATGGAACTTCTGGCCGATTGCAGATATTCACATCTTGGGGAACCTGGGTGGCTCAGCCGGTGAAGCGCCCGACTTCAGCTCCGGTCGTGATCTCCGGCTCTTGGGTTTGAGCCCCAAGGCAGGCTCTGCTGTCAGCGTGGATCCTCTGTCCTCTTCTCTCTCTGCCCCTCTCCCATTCACGCATGTGCTCTCTTTCAAAATAAACATTTTTTTTTTTTTAAAGGAAAATAGGGGGCATCTGGGTGGCTCAGTTGTCACACTTTGGCTCAGGTCATGATCTCATGGTTGGTGAGTTTGAGGCCCATGTCGGGCTCTGTGCTGACAGAGATTCTGTGTCTCCCTCTTTCCCTGCCCCTTACGGGCTCATGCTCTGTGTCTCTCCCCTTCAAAAATAAATACACATTTTTAAAAAACTTTAAAAAAAGAAAAAAGAAAAAAGGAAAACATTCACATTTTAAAATAAACAAACAAACTCATAACTACAGGATTATTCTCTTCCTTCTTTCGCGACTCTTTTTTCCCCCTTGAACAGCTATTACCAGTCCACTTCTCCACAGACAATTTTATACTTTTATACTTGAAAGTCTTTTACTGACCGATCAATCATATTTTCTTGCATATACATATTAATTGAGATGAAAAATGTTTTTCTTTGTTGTGACCATAGACAGCAAAGTTTTTAAAAATGTTTCTTCTCGGGGTGCCTGGGTGGCTCAGTCGGTTAAGCGGCCGACTTCGGCTCAGGTCATGATTTCACGGTCCGTGAGTTTGAGCCCCGCGTCGTCAGGCTCTGTGCTGACCGCTCAGAGCCTGGAGCCTGTTTCAGATTCTGTGTCTCCCTCTCTCTCTGACCCTCCCCCGTTCATGCTCTGTCTCTCTCTGTCTCAAAAATAAATAAACGTTAAAAAAAAATTAAAAAATTTTTTTTCTTCTCTGTTATCATTACAATTATTATGAGAACAGAACTGATTTAAATAGCATCAAGATTGCACACAGTTTTTAAATGATTAAAAATTGAAAGTACATGTTTAATGAGACAGGAGAGGTGGTGTTTATGGTACCTTGATGAAAGAAATAGGCTACATGTCTCTTTACTTAAGACAAGATTAGCCCCAGATTTCATGATTGACAACCACAGGCATATCTTGGAGATAATGCAGGTTCTGTTCCAGATGACCACAATAAAGTGAATATCGCAATAAAGAAAGTCAAAGGAGCTTTTTTGCTTTTCCAGTGCATATAAAGGTTATGTTTACGTGATACTGTAGTCCATTAAGTGCACGATAGCATTATGTCTTTAAAAAAAAACCCAACGTACATACCTTAATTTAAAAATACTTTATTGCTGGGGTGCCTGGGTGGCTCAGTCAGTTGAGAACCTGACTTCAGCTCAGTGTGGTTTATGGGTTCGGAGCCCCCCTGGGGTTCTCTCTCTCCCTCTCTCTGCCCTTCTCCAACTTGCATGCACATGCTCGCTCTCTCAACATAAATAAATAAACTTAATACTGCTAAAAATGCTACACATCATCTGAGCTTTCAGGGAGTTTTAATCTTTTCGCTGGGGAAGGGTCTTCCCTAGATGCTGGTGGCTGCTGACTGATCAGGGTGGTGGTTGCTGAAGGTTGGGATGGCTGTGCCAATTTCTTAAAATAAGACAACAATGAGGTTTGCTGCATCAATCGACTCTTCTTTTCACAAACGATTTCTCTGTAGCATGCGATGCTGTTTGATAGCATTTTACCCACAGCAGAACTTTCAAAATTGAAGTCAGTCCTCTCAAACCCTGCTGCTGCCTTATCAACTAAGTTTTATGTAATACCCTAAATCCTTTGTTGTCATTTCAATGATCTTAATAGCATCTTCACCAGGAATAGATTTCATTTCAAGAAACCACTTTCTGTGCTCATCCATAAGAAGCAACTCCTCATCTTTTGAAGTTTTATCTTGAGATTGCAGCCAATTCAGTCACATCTCCAGGCTCTACTTCTAATTCTGGTTCTCTTGCCAATTCTACCACATCTGAAGTCACTTCCTCCACTGAAGTCTTGAACCTCTCAAAGTCACCCATGAGAGTTAGAGTCAACTTCTTTCAAACTCTTATTAATATTAATATTTTGTCCTCTTCCCATGAACCACAAATGTTCCTAATACATCTACATTGGTGGATCCTTTCGGGAAAGTTTTCAATTTACTTCACCTAAATCCATTAGAGGAATCACTGTGTATACCAACGACAGCTTTATGAAATGTATTTCTTAAATAATAAGACCTGAAAGCCGAAATTACTCCTTGATCCATGGTCTTCAGAATGGATGCTGTGTTGGCAGGCATGAAAACAACATTCATCTCATTGTATATCTTTATCCGAGCTCTTGGATGACCAGGTGCATTGTCAATGAGCAGTAAAAGAAAGGAATTTTTTTTAAAGTTTATTTATTTGGGGGGAGGTGCAGAGAGGGAGAGGGAGAGAATCCAAGCAGGCTCTGCACTGTCAGCACAGAGCCCGACGTGGCGCTTGAGTTCGCAAACAGTGAGATCACAACCTGAGCCCAGATCAAGAGCCAGACACCCAACCGACTGAGCCACCCAGGTGCCCCCAGAAAGGAATCTTTCTTTCTGAGCAGTAGGTCTCAAAGTAGGGCTTAGCAGTAACTATGTTGTCAACAGATGTGCTGTCATCCAGGCTTTGTTGTTCCATTTATAGATCACGGGCAGAGTAAATTTAGCATAATTCTTAAGGGCCCTAGGATTTTTGGAATGGCAAATGAGCATTGGCTTCAACTTAATGTCACCAGCTGCTTTAGCCCTTAGCAAGAGAGTAAGCCTGTCATTTGAAGCTTTGAAGCCAGGCACTGACTTCTCCTCTCTAGTTATGAAAGCCCCAGATAGTATCTTCTTTCAGGAGAAGACTGTTTCATCTACACTGAATATCTGTTGTTTGGTGTAGACACTTTCATTAATTATCTTAGCTAGGTCTGCCAGATAACTTGCTGCAGCTTCTACGTCAGCGCCTGCTGCTTCACCTTGCTTTTTTATGTTTGGAAGATGGCTTCTTTCTTTATACCTCATGAACCAACCACTGCAAGCTTCCAAGTTTTCTTCTGCAGCCTCTCAGCCTTCACGTAATTGAAGAGAGTTAAGGTCTTTGAGAGAATGTTGTGGCTGGTTTGATCTTCTATCTAGACCACCCAAGCATCTTCCATATCATCAGTAAGTCCGTGCTGCTTTCTTATCATTCATGTGTTCACTGGAGTAGCACTTTTTTTTTTTAATTTTTTTTTTTACATTTATTTTTGAGAAACAGAGTGAGACAAAGCGTGAACGGGGGAGGGGCAGAGAGAGTAGGAGACACAGAATCTGAAGCAGTCTCCAGGCTCTGAGCAAGCGGTCAGCACAGAGCCTGATGCGGGGCTCGAACCCACGAACTGTGAGATCATGACCTGAGCCGAAGTCGGACGCTCAGCCGACTGAGCCACCCAGGCGCCCCTGGAGTAGCACTTTTAATTTCCTTCAAGACCATTTCCTTTGCAGTCACAGCCTGACTGTCTGGCACAAGAGGCCTAACTTTCGGCTTGTCTCAGCTTTCAACATGCCTTCCTTCCTAAGCTTAATCATTTCTAGCTTTTGACGGATTGATCTTTTTTAATGTTTATTTCTGAGAGAGAGAGAGAGAGCGAGAGAGAGCAGGGGAGGGGCAGAGAGAGAGAGGGAGACACAGAATCAGAAGCAGGCTCCAGGCTCTAACCTGTCGGCATAGAGTCGGATGCAGGGCTCAAACCCACAAACCGCAAGATCATGACCTGAGCCGAAGTTGTACACTTAACCCACTGAGCCACCCCGGCACCCCTAGCTTTTGATTTAAAGTGAGAGACATGTGACTCTTTCTTTCACTTAAACACTTAGAGGCCATTGCAGGGTTATTAATTTCAATATCCTTGTGTCTCAGAGAATAGGGAAGGCTGAGGAGAGGGAGAGAGATGGGGGAACAGCTGGTCAGTGGAACAGTCAGCACACACACACGGTATTTATTAAGTTCACTGTCTTTATATGGGTGTCATTTGTGTTACCCCCAAACAGTTATAATAGTAACTGATCACAGATTACCATGACAAAAGTAAAAATAACAAAAAAGTTTGAAATATTGCAGTACTTACCAAAATATGGCACTGAACCACGAAATGAACAAATGCTGTTAGAAAAAGGGTGTCAGCAGGAGCACCTGGCTGGCTCAATCAGTACAGCATGTGACTCTTGATCCTGGGGTTTTGGGTTCAAGCCCCACGTTGGGTGTAGAGATTCCTTAAAAATAAAATCTTTAGGGGAGCCTGGGTGGCTCAGTTGGTTGAGCTTCCAACTTCAGCTCAGGTCGTGATCTCATGGTTCGTGAGTTCGAGCCCCGCGTCAGGCTCTGTGCTGACAGCTCAGAGCCTGGAGCCTGCCTTGGATTCTGTCTCCCTCTCTCTCTGCCCCTCCCCTGCTCATGCTCTGTCTCTCTCTGCCTCAAAAATAAATAAATATTAAGAATAAAATAAAATAAAATAAAATAAAATAAAATAAAATAAAATCTTTAAAAAAAGGAAAAAAAAAAACCGTGCCGATAGACTTGCTCAACCCAAGGCTGCCACAAACCTTCAATTGGTAAAAAAACAAAAACAAAAAACAAAACTACAATATCTGTGAGGCACAATAAAATGAGGTATGCCCACATACCTTTTTGGGTTTTGTTTGTTTGTTTGTTTGTTTGTTTAAGAGACGAGGAAGTCGATTATAAAAGGGACCGGGAAGAAGGAGAACCTCAACTGCAAGCATTTACTCAGTAAGAACAATCTTGCGAAAGTTGAGGATCTAGAAATTAAATCCTTATCGTCTCCTAAGGCTGAGTACCCTTTGAGGGAATTTTCATGTTCCCTAATTTGAAGACTATAGGCTTAGATGGTGTGGGATTCTTTAATGGAAGGGCAGGTTTGAGGCTCTGGTACAGTGAGGGCTTAAGGATCTAAGAACCTCCGCGTCCTAATAGTGGCAAGATGGTCACTTGTAGTAAGCCAAAGGATGCAGGGGATGGGAATCTCCGTGTTAACTGTTCTGGCTTCCATAAGTTCACATCTGGACCCACCCTGGCCTCCGCGAGTCCTTCCAGCCTCCCTAAAGTTGAGTGAGGTAGGGGGTGCGGGCGAGGCGGGCATCGAAGTCAGTTTCTTCTCTCTTCGTTCTTTCCTCAGTTTCCCCAGAGGAAGAGAAAGAGACGAGTCGAGACCCAAGGTATTTTACGAGTCTCACTTCGTCTGCCAGCCCTCACAGCGGCAATCTGCACAGATTCTTCTCACGGCCCCCCACCCCTACCCCCATATCGCCGTCCTAAGGCCCTGGAGCTCCTGGACAAAGCTCGGCCTCCAGGTCATCACCGCCTGCACTTTGGGGGACCCTCTCCAGAAAAGAACGGAGAACCACCTAGCTCCCACCTAAACTTGGTTGGTCATTAGTTCCATGGAGGCGCTTAAAGAGGAATCAATAACAATAGCGATAATAGTAAGAACACATTTGTATAGCTCATTGTGCTCATCTGTATGCATTTGTTATGATTTCACGGTTGTGAGATACAGACACCTGGAAGTATTAGTAGCTGCTGGACAGCGGCAAGGGAGCGGGCCGCCAGCAAAAGGGAAGGGGCAGGCGCAGTCGATTAAACCGTGGAAAGGGTACCGGGCAGGTAGGAAAGCAGCGCCGGAAGGCTGGTCAACGGCCCAGCGGAAGGAAAAGGACTTTTTTCCCTCTTAAGAGACGCTCGTTCTATCCTGCACCCTTGCGTGGTCTTGGAGGGCCCAATCCTGTTCCGTTCCCCCTTCCCCACTTGGAAAGGTGGCTCAGTCCTTCCCGCACGCGACCCGCCGGCGGTTGGGCCGGATGCAGGAAGTTTCTAATTGGCTGAGTCGCAGAAGCACCGGGTGAAAAGAGCTCTGCCGGCGGCGCGCCCTAGTCCGGGCGTAGCCAATACCGTACGGCAAAATGGCGGCCCCCAGGTAGTTTGGGACGCCCTGAGGAGGCAAAAGCGCCCCCTACTGGTCGCAGGAAAGGGAGCCGCAGACTGTGTGGGCGTCACTGGAGATGGGGGCGGGTCTACAACCACTTCCTGCCGCAGGGTGAGGCGTGGTCCGGGCGCCGTACGACAATATGGCCGCGCCTATGTGGCTGTAGGCGGAAACTCGGCGGCTTCCGGTCCAGAGAAGGGCCTGCGGTGGGAGGGGGAAGGAAGGCGGAGGGAACCATGCGAGGTTCTGAGATCAGCAGCGAGGGTCGCCTCGAGAGACCGTTTCTGAGGTGGGGGCCGGACGGTGTGGGGAGCGAAGGCGGGGGCGGGAATGTCGAGGGAGAGGTATTGGGGATTCCCGGGCGCTGAGTCTGAGGGACAAGCTATGGTACCTTCCTTCCTATCCCTGAAGGGGAGTGGGGTGGCCGGGGGCCGAACTGGGGGAGGGGGACTTGGCGGGAAGCTCATCTAGAGGAAGGGGTCAGACGCCAGGTTGGGATTTGAGAGGAATCGGGACAGCTCACTGCTGGGCTCACAATTGGTTACAGGTCACAGAGAGAGAATGGGGGAAATTCGGGTGGGGTAAGAGGGAGGGGATTGAGGTGAGATCTCTCCAACCTGACGCCCCGGTTTGAGGAGCCCCGTCGGAGGGCGGAGTATGAAGATAATTCAAGGAGGAGAAAGGGGAATGGATTGTTGGGAGGGAACCTCCTTCACCTCAGAGAGTCTAGGAGTTGGGGGTGATCCTTCAGGATGGGATGAGGGTGTGGATTTGACGTGTTTGAGAGCGAAAGGGGGAAGGCTCAGGAGGTGGTGCTGCCGGGGGTGTGGTATCTGCGAGGGAACGTCGAGGGAATCTGGAGTGCAATGTGGGAGGCGGTCCAGGGGTTGGAAGAATCAACTTGGCAAGTATGAGAATTGGGGAAATGAATGTCTGAGAAGTGGGGCAATGAAACAGAAAGAAAGCTTGGATATCGACAAGAGGGGTGGAGCTGGGGGTGGGGACTTAAGGGTTTCAGGTGGTTTGGGGCTTCCTTATGTAAAGGGCCAGAAAAGCATATGGTGCTAACAGTTGCTGGAAGACAGGCAGTTGAGGACACTGTTGGGCAGGGCTGGGTGTTACTGAAACCCAAGAAGATTGGAAAGTGTGTGAGATGAGGGATGGGCTGTGCTGGAGGGGCTCTTTCTGAGGCCCCATCCCCTTCCAGCAGGAGTTCCGAAATCCCCAACACCTCCTCCCTCCGGGGGATTTGATCCCCCATGGCCACCGCTAACAGCATCATCGTGCTGGATGATGATGACGAAGATGAAGCAGCTGCTCAGCCAGGTCCCTCCCACCCACCCCCCAGTCCGGCCTCACCCCGGCCAGAAGCCCCTGGCTCCTCTCAGCCCCATGGGGCTGGAGGAAGCAGCAGTTCTGGCGGCAAGAAATGCTACAAGTTGGAGAATGAGAAGCTGTTTGAAGAGGTGAGCTTTAGGGGAGAAGATTCTTGTACCCCAGGGAGGGGGATGGCTGACTGGCTCTCCTGTCCTTTCTTCCCCACTAACCCCACCTCGCCTTCTTTCTCTCCACCCCTCCCCTTGTCTCTTTCCCCCTACCTCTTCCCCTGAATCCTCTAGTTCCTTGAGCTGTGTAAGACGCAGACAGCAGACCACCCTGAGGTGGTCCCATTCCTCTATAACCGGCAGCAGCGTGCCCACTCTCTGTTTTTGGCCTCGGCGGAGTTCTGCAACATCCTCTCTCGGGTCCTATCTCGGGCCCAGAGCCGGCCAGCTAAGCTCTATGTCTACATTAATGAGCTCTGCACTGTTCTCAAGGCCCATTCAGCCAAGAAGAAGCTGAACCTGGCCCCTGCTGCCACCACCTCTAGTGAACCCTCTGGGAATAACCCTCCCACAGACCCCTCCTCGGACCCCACAAATGCCGAGACCACTGCCTCTGAGGCCCCAAGGACCCGTGGTTCCCGGCGGCAGATCCAGCGCTTGGAGCAGCTGCTAGCGCTCTATGTGGCTGAGATCCGGCGGCTGCAGGAAAAGGAGTTGGATCTCTCAGAGTTGGATGACCCAGACTCCACATACCTGCAGGAGGCAAGGTTGAAGCGTAAGCTGATCCGCCTCTTTGGGCGGCTGTGTGAACTCAAAGACTGCTCTTCACTGACGGGCCGTGTCATAGAACAGCGCATCCCCTACCGTGGCACCCGCTACCCAGAGGTTAACAGGCGCATTGAGCGGCTCATCAACAAACCAGGGCCTGATACCTTCCCTGACTATGGAGATGTCCTGCGGGCTGTGGAGAAGGCAGCTGCTAGGCACAGCCTCGGCCTCCCACGACAGCAGCTCCAGCTCATGGCTCAGGATGCCTTCCGAGATGTGGGCATCAGGTTACAGGAACGACGCCACCTTGATCTCATCTACAACTTTGGCTGTCACCTCACAGATGACTATAGGCCAGGTAGGGGTTAGTGAGATGCCTGTCAACAACCCTTATATGTCAGATGTTTGCTGGAGGGGGGATCTCTCTTGTCCCTTCTGCTAGGGTTTGGGCTGAGTACTCTGACTTTATATCTTCCCACGTAGGCATTGACCCTGCACTGTCAGATCCCGCCCTAGCCCGGCGCCTGCGAGAAAACCGGAGCTTGGCTATGAGCCGGCTGGATGAGGTCATCTCCAAATATGCAATGATGCAAGACAAGAGTGAGGAGGGCGAGAGGCAGAAGAGAAGGGCTCGGCTTCCCCAAGCCACCTCTTCCCACTCTGCAGACTCTCCCAAAGCCTCCTTGGATTCTGGTGAGGTATGGAAGGGATAAACCCTTCAGACAGATCTTGTCCTTCCCCTGCACTAGCTAGCAGGGAGTTTAGGGTGACTGACTGGGACAAGTGCAGAAGGAACCCGAGAACCAGACCCTCTGGGACAAGGGATTCCTTAGAGAAATTCCTTTGTCCCCCAGGGCCCTAGTGGGATGGTGTCCCAGGAATGCCCTACCACCTCCAAGGCTGAGACAGATGACGAAGAAGATGAGGAAAGTGATGAGGAAGAGGAAGAAGAGGAAGAAGAGGAAGAGGAAGAAGAAGAGGAGGAGGCCACAGATTCTGAAGAAGAGGAGGATCTCGAACAGATGCAGGAAGGTCAGGGGGACGATGAAGAGGAGGAGGAGGAGGAGGAGGAGGAGGAAGCAGGTATGTCAAGGAAACAGTCCCCTCATGTGTCGGTTCCCTCTACTCTTTTGGATGTGAACCACCTGTTTGAGACCCTTCCCTCCCTCCTCTTACTCTCAGCAGTATTCTTTCCCTTAGTTCTCATGCTGCCTCCCCCGTCTTTTCTTCTTTTCCAGGTCAGGATGGAGACAAGAGCCCTATGTCCCCACTGCAGCAGATCTCCGCTGAAAAAAACCTGGAATCTAGCAGAGGGATCAGCAAGTCTGTGGGGGGGCAGCAGAACAAAGGACTCATAATGTCACCATCTTCACTGTCAGAAGACGCCTTGGCCCCCTCCAGCATAGATGCTGAAAGCAACGGAGAACACCTTGAGGAGTTACCCCTGGAGGAAGAGAGCCCCATGTCTCAGCTCTTTGAGCTCGAGATCGAAGCCTTGCCCCTGGATACCACTCCTTCCCCTGAGGAGAGGGACGTTTCTTCTTCCAGGAACCAATCAGAGGACCCCCTCACCACTGTCTTGGAGAATGGAGCAGCCATGGTCACCTCCACTTCCTTCAATGGAGGTGTGTCTCCTCACACCTGGGGAGATTCCTGTCCCCCGTGCAAGAAATCCCGGAAGGAGAAGCAAACTGGAGCAGGGTCATTAGGAAACAGGTAACAATGACAAGGAGGAGAAGGGGGAGGCCAAGGACAGATTGCAAGGGGCTTTCTGAGAGTATTGAGGAACTGGGTCTGCTGGGAAGAGACTGGATGATTCCCCTCCAGCCTCAGGCTCTTCATACCCCTCCACATATTTGTGTTTCTGTCCCTAGCTATGTAGAAAGGCAAAGGGCAGTGCATGAGAAGAATGGGAAGAAGGTATCTACCCTGCCCAGCCCACCTTCTCCCTTGACTTCTATGGCCCCAGTTGCTGATTCCTCGACAAGAGTGGACTCTCCTAGCCATGGCCTGGTGACCAGCTCCCTCTGTAGCCCATCTCCAGCCCAGTTGTCCCAAGCCCCCCATTCACAACCCTCCCGGCCTGGTACTTACAAGGTAAGAGGGGGAGGCAGTTGTTTCCTGACTTGTCTTTCATTGTCTGTTCAGTTTCAGGCACTCCATCTGAATTTTGCACCCACCACATCCTCTCTCGACCTTTTTTCTAACCCCAGTTTTTAATCTCTGAGAAATCCTTCCCTTTGCTTCTTTTACCCCTATATTCCAGACGTCTCTTTCTGACTCTGTCTCTCACTCCCTGCAGATGAGTGTGGCCACACAGTGCGATCCAGAGGAGATCATCGTGCTCTCAGACTCTGATTAGCTGCCTCTACCCCCCACTCCCTGCCTCCAAAATGTTTTGGAATAGTATTTGGAGGATGGTGGGAAACAGATGACTGAGGAAGGGATTGACTGGGCTAATCCCCTTTTGGTGGTGTTTCTTTAAAAAAACAGAAAACAAAAAAACAAAACCTTAAGTTTTACACAGAAACATTAATAAACAATAAAGTTCTTTTCTTATTGTATCCCTGTCTTTTCCTTTTCCTTGTTCTACTCTCACAGCCGATTGGCACCGGCTGTTCTCTGGTTCAAGGTTAGCCTGGGCCTGGACTACCCCTGGAGCTGTCCTTTGTAGCCTGTCCTTAGCCTGCCTCTCTTTGAGTTCCCTCGGCTTCAGGCCTTCCGCTTGCCCTCTGCCAGGCACTAAAAAGAAAGAAGAAAGAAAGAAAAAAAGAAAAAGAAATGTGTTCCAGCCTCCCGAATGTGCTTTACTTTCTCACTTCGAGCGGTTGGAGTAAAAAGGCCAATCAGGGGCCGACTCAAGGTTATTTGGCCAATCCAGACCCGGAGGAAGGGGGCGGGGTTTCAGGGGGACTGTCTGAAGCTGGGAGAGCAGGGCGCTTAGATCCCGCAAACCTGCTAATGGCCACAGCTCAGGGGCGGAGCCTAAGCAGCGACGGCCAAAACCCTTCGCCAATGGGAAGGGCAGGCTTACGGAATTAAAGGGGAATGAGCGCTTCGGCCGAACCACCAAGTCCTGCGTTTTCAGCAGCGGAAGAGACCTGGTACCTTTAAGGTGGAATGAGACGGCTGTTCTTTAAAGGAGAAGTGGTCTAGTCGGCCGAGTAGTGCCCAGAGGCACGGGCGGGGTACCCGTCTGTGCCTTTAAAGCCGGAGGGGCGGGAGGCGGAGCGGAGGCGGAGGGCGGAGGGAGTCGGCGCAAGATGGCGGCGGGAGGGGCCCAGGCTGCGGCTCTGGCCGCCGAGTGAGGGGCGGGGGGGCCCGGGGGCGCGCGGCCCGGTAAGCGGGGACGCGCGGGGTTGGGGGGCGCCTTCCGGGTGGGAGAGGAGGTCGAAGTAGCGCTTGGGGCGGAGCAGAGGGGGGCGGGGTCCTGTGTGGGCGGGGGTAGGCAAGGGGCGGGGCCGAGAGAGCCACGGGGGTGGGCCTTGAAGAGGCGGGGCCGAAAGGGCCAAGGGGCGTGCCTTGAAGGGGCGGGGCTAGAGGTAAGCTGAGGGGCAAAGGGGCCCTTGCTCCCGACAGAGCTGGGGGGGGGGGGGGAGGGCATAGCCTAAAAAGACATGGAGGGAGGGATGGTTTTCGGTACAGGAACAGACTTGCCCCCCTCCTAAGAAAAGGTTGCAAAACACCAGTAAGGTAAATTTTGGAAATTCAGGCTTTCAGGCAAATGGGAAATTCCGAGGGGAGGCACCCCACTCCCCAAGAACACCTTATTTCTCTAATCTCCAAGGAAAGAGCACTGGATTAGGAGTCAGGACATCTGTGTTTCCTGGCACTGCCACTTACTGGCTCTGTGACCTTGGATAATCTCGTAATCTTTCCGAGCCTCAGTTTCCTCATCTGTCAAATGGGGTTGAGAGGAATACCTACCTTACAGTGTTGTGGGGAATTACTCGGATAAAGGGTATGAACATGTTTTTAAACTGTAGAGGGAAGGGCTGTGTTATTATGAGATGTTATCATTCTTCTCTCTTTTTCTTCCCAGAGACCCCCCCGGCCGCCCTCCTCCTTCCCTTGTTCCTGTGGCTGGGGGGGTACCCCCTCCCTCCACGCCATGGAGCCATCTCCTCTCTCTCCCAGTGGGGCAGCACTCCCCCTGCCTCTGTCACTGGCCCCACCCCCACTGCCCCTGCCTGCAGCTGCAGTGGTCCACGTGTCCTTCCCTGAGGTGACCAGTGCCCTTCTGGAGTCCCTCAATCAGCAGCGGCTACAGGGCCAGCTCTGCGATGTGTCCATCCGAGTGCAGGGCCGGGAGTTCAGGGCTCATCGTGCTGTCCTGGCTGCCTCCTCCCCTTACTTCCACGACCAGGTTTTACTCAAGGGCATGACCTCCATCTCTCTGCCCAGCGTCATGGACCCGGGCGCCTTCGAGACTGTCTTGGCTTCCGCTTACACTGGTCGCCTCAGCATGGCTGCTGCTGACATTGTCAACTTCCTCACAGTGGGGTCGGTGCTCCAAATGTGGCACATCGTGGATAAGTGCACTGAACTCCTCCGCGAAGGCCGGGCCTCAGCCACCACCACCACCATCACCACTGCTGCTGCCACTTCTGCCACTGTCCCTGGTGCTGGGGTCCCATCGGGGAGTGGGGCCACTGTGGCCCCTGCCACCATGGGCTCTGTGCGCTCCCATGCCTCCAGCCGAGCCAGTGAGAATCAGTCCCCCAGCAGCAGCAACTACTTCAGCCCCCGAGAGTCCACTGATTTCTCATCTTCTTCCCAAGAGGCATTTGCAGCTTCTGCAGTGGGCAGTGGGGAACGTCGAGGAGGTGGCCCTGTATTCCCAGCCCCTGTGGTTGGCAGTGGCGGAGCTACCTCTGGGAAGCTGCTGCTGGAGGCAGATGAGCTCTGCGATGATGGGGATGGGAGAGGTGCTGTGGTCCCTGGGGGTGGGCTCCGGCGGCCCACCTATGCACCCCCTAGCATCATGCCACAGAAACACTGGGTATATGTGAAGCGGGGTGGAAACAGCCCAGCACCGGCACCCCTCGTTCCCCAAGACCCAGATCTGGAAGAGGATGAGGAGGAAGAAGACCTGGTGTTGACCTGTGAGGATGATGAAGATGAAGAGCTCGGGGGTGGCTCCAGGGTTCCTGAGGCTGGAGGACCAGAGGCTACCCTTAGCATAAGTGATGTCCGGACCCTGACTGAGCCTCCGGACAAGGGAGAGGAGCAGGTCAATTTCTGTGAGTCCTCCAATGACTTTGGCTCCTATGAGGGTGGGGGTCCTGGGGCGGGGCTTGATGATTCCGGGGGGCCAACCCCTTCCTCCTATGCCCCCTCCCACCCTCCGAGGCCCCTGCTTCCCTTGGACATGCAGGGCAACCAGATCCTGGTCTTCCCATCGTCTTCATCCTCCTCCTCCTCCTCCTCCTCCTCACAGGCCCCAGGCCAGCCACCAGGGAACCAAGCTGAACACGGGGCGGTGACCCTGGGGGGCACCTCAGCAGGGAGCCTGGGCATGCCGGGTGGTGCTGGGGGGACCCCTGGAGGGGCAGGCAGTGGGGATGGGAATAAGATCTTTTTGTGCCACTGTGGGAAGGCCTTCTCCCACAAGAGCATGCGAGATCGGCATGTGAACATGCACCTCAACCTGCGGCCCTTTGACTGCCCCGTGTGCAACAAAAAGTTTAAGATGAAGCACCACCTGACCGAGCACATGAAGACACACACAGGTCTGAAACCCTACGAGTGTGGCGTCTGCGCCAAGAAGTTCATGTGGCGAGACAGCTTCATGCGCCACCGGGGACACTGTGAGCGCCGGCACCGCCTGGGCGGGGGCGGACCCGGACCCGGAGGGCCCGCTGGGCCAGCCCTGCCGCCCAAGAGAGAGTCTCCTGGAGTGGGTGGGGGCAGCGGCGACGAGGCGAGTGGGGCCACGCCCCAGTCCAGCCGAAGGGTCTGGTCCCCACCCAGTGTCCACAAGGTGGAGATGGGCTTTGGTGGAGGAGGAGGAACAAACTGAAGGGGGGGCTCCTGGAGGCAGCTTTCGGGGAAGAGGAAACCGGGAGCACCAGCCAGGGGCGCTGTGGCCCTCAGGTGATCTCCCACCACGCTTACTGTCTTCCTTATCTCTACCGGACTTGTATATATTTTGGAGGGGGAACAATGTTGCACCATCGGCCACCCCATTCCATCCCTCAGCCCCTCTCCCACAAAGTATCCCTGGAACTAAGTCCTTCCTTTCCCTCAGCTCCAGACTGGGGCGCATATGGTGGTGGGGGGAGGGAAAGGGGCTATGGAGCATCCTGGAGTCACAGGGTCAAGGGTCAGGTGGTTGTAGTCTGTACCTGAAGTCTGTGTTTGTGTTGTTGTGGGGACCAGGTTTTGAGCCCCACCCTTGTCCTAGAACCTACCCCACCCCGCTAAGGACGTGCCCTTTATTTCCACCCTAATCCCTTCTATCTCTCCTTGGGGGACCTCCAACTGGATTCTCATTGAGGAGGGAGTGAAGACAAGGAGGGAATATAAATCGTAAGAATACAAGGTTTTTATTTTAAATCTTATTTTTTTTAAAATGGTGATTAAAATATTTATTGGTCATTTCACTTGGCTTGCCAACAGCCCCTATGTGTTTGCTGGGGATCCGAAGCAGGTTGGGGAAAGCGGAGTAACGGTTCTCTAGGAAGTAGTTTCTGGAAGGAGGGCACCGAGGGGGAGCCTAGGGTTGGGGAGGGTTTCTGGAAGTGGGTGGTGCTGTGTGGTCCAAGAGGGAGGGGCAGGGCGGGGCGGGGCTGAGGTCCCCAGATCAGAACTGGAGATAGTGTTCCGGGATCTGTGCCTGGCTTGTGTGGAAAGCACCTGCCGCCCACGTGGCCTCACCCAACCAGAGGGGATTTCCGGCGACTCTCCAGCCGGCCTTTCAAGGAAAATGAAAGTGAAAGGGAGAAGTGGAGGTTTCAGAGCTGAGCGGATCGCTGCGCCATGAAGCCCCTGTCTCTGCTCCTCTCCGTGGCTTTGGGTGAGCGAACGCCGAGACTCTGCTCAAGAACAGGGAAGAGGCGGAGGGAGGTGACCCACCACGCGCCAGACGCGGGGGTGCGGGACGAGGGTCGCCTGACCTCTGGACCGCTCCCTCACTCGCGCCCCTCTCCTCCAGGCTTGGTGACCGCCGTCTCGGCGGGACCCGCGGTGATAGAGTGCTGGATGGTGGAGGACGCGGGCGGGGGCCGCCTGACCAAGAAACCCGCCGCACTGCTGCTGCGCCAGGGCCCAGGGAGACTACCTCCCCGGCCGGACCTCGAACCCGAGCTCTACCTCAAAGTGCGCGGTGAGTCATCCCGGACTCGCCCTCAACTCCCACTTCCACCGAAACCCCCTCTTCTTTAGGTCGCACTGTGACCTCAGGCCTCAGTTTCCCCTTGTAAAATGAGCCTGGATTACCTGTAAATCTCTCAGTACTGGGTAGTTTGTGCATTTGGAATTCCCTGGACGCTGCCCTCCCCGTCGCGTTCCTGGTGGTGACTACAGCAGCAATTCCCTTGTCCGCGCTCACAGACCCCGCGGGAGCCCTGCAGGCTGCCTTCAGGCGGTACCCCTCGGACGCCCCTGCGCCACACTGCGAGATGAGCCGCTACCTCCCGCTCCCTGCCTCAGCGAATTGGGCCAGTGGCTTGACCCCGGAGCAGAGCTGCCCTCGGGCCCTGGATGGGACTTGGCTCATGGTCAGCGTGTCCAGCCCAATCTTAAGTCTCTCCAGCTTCCTGAGACCAGAGTCCGAGCCTCAGCCGGAACCTAATCTCATCACCATGGTAACAGGTAGCTGGGACGGGGAAGTAGAGGTGAACGGGTAGATTCTAAGGGTCTAGATCGGCCTGTGACTCGCTCTGTGGAACTTAATTGGAACTAATTGGGGCTTAGTTTCCTTACTTGTAAAGCAAGGCGGTTCGGCTAAGATTAAACAATCTACCGCTAACAGTTTATTCTAGCTCCTGCCCAGTTGAAAACAACCACCCACAACCTGCGGTTTGGGGGTGGGGCTTCGTGGAGTTCCCAGGGGCAGAGCTTTGGGAAGAGTGGCTGACTTTCCCTACACTGGACGTTGAGTAACTTGTAAGGGAATGGGGTTTGGGAGGGGCTCAGAAGCAGGAAAATTTTTTTCTCCTCTCCTCCTGGATCTTTATCTTGCGTTTCACTCTGTTTCAAAAACCAGGGTTCAAGCCCCATCCGTGCCCACATCCGGAACTTCTGCACTTAGCAAAACAAAGGCTCTTGCGCTCTAGAGCGTTGACATTTTCTGACTGCCCCTTTCCTATAGTTCGTGAGGATGCGCTGATTCTGTGGTCACCAAATGGTGGACTTAGAGGAAGAGACAGGGCAGGAGACCTCCTGGTTTCCACTGCAAAGACCCATTTCTGTGCATGGTGCAATGCGGTTTTGACGCCCAGGGGTCTGGCACTTTGCGGAGAGGAGGCATGAGAAGGAAGTGGGCAGATAAAAACAATCAACTGGGTATCTAGGAGCTCACCTTTCTCGCAGCAGAAGGTGGGTAGGATATGAGTAGTCAAGTCATTGGCTTCCCTCAATCTTGTGCGACTTTTTTTAAAAGTTTAAAGTTGATTTAAATTTTATGTATGTATGTATGTATGTATGTATGTATGTATGTATGTATGTATGTTAAGTAATCTCTATGCTCAGCCTGGGGCTCGAACTCAAGACCCTGAGATCAAAAGCCATATGCTCTTTGGACTGAGCCAGCCAGGCTTCCCTTGTGCCATTGTTTGTAAATGACACAGCCCAACCAGCAGATAAACCCCAGCTGAGGGCTGTACCCTCCCTTCCCTTCCCCAGGACCGTTTTCCTGCTACCCTACTCCCTGAGAGTGAATCACCTACAGGACCAGGGAAAGGGACTCAGCAACTGCCTAATCACCTCTGCCTACACTTCTGTTCTTAGCTCCCAGGACTCACCCTAGGCAGGGGCAGAGGCAAACTGCTCCTTGTGGGGATAGTAGCTCTCTCCAGTGGCAAGGAGTATTTCCCAGGGCTTCTGGCTTCACCGAGGTGGGGGTGACAACATACTTTTTTTCTGAGTCTGTTTTTCCAACTGTAAAATGTGGATGCTGTTTCCTATCCGCCTTTCTGTTGTGACTATCATGTGACTATCATATCACTTTGTTAATGTATTCACTGGTTCAATATTTATTAGCACCAAGGATAAATTAGGGCCCAGTGGTTCTCAGTCCAGGCTGCAAGTAAGAGTCCTGTTGGAAGTTTCTAAAATGTACTGAATATAGGGACGCCTACGTGGCTCAGTCAGTTGTGTTAGCCTCTTGCTTTAGGCTCAGGTCATGATCTCATGGTTGGTGAGTTCCGGCCCGAGGAGGGGATTCTCTCTCTCTCTCTCTCTCTCTCTCTCTCTCTCTCTCTGCCCCTCCCTCATTCATGTACCAGAGCTCACTCACTCTCTCAAAATAAATAAATAAACTTAAAAAAATAATAAAATACACTGAATCCCACCACTCCAGGAGAATTAAGTCAGAATCTTGGGGTAGCCCTGGACATTTTTAAGAGTCAAGAACACGATCAGGGGGCACCTGGGTGGCTCACTCAGTTAAGCTGCTGACTCTTGATTTCCACTCAGGTCATGATCTCAGGGTTCCTGAGTTTGAGCCCTGGGTCAGGCTCTGCAGGACCCTGTCTGTCTCCCTCTCTCTCCCCCTTCCACTTGTGTGTGCTTTCTCTCTCTCTCCTCTCTCTCTCTGGAAAAAAAAAAAAAAAAAAAAAAGGTGATCAGATGTAGATTCTGCTCTCTAGAAGGTTCTCAGCAGGTTTGTCATGGGTAATTGTAATGTAGAGTAGAAAGCAATTTGGGCCATTAGAGTAGTACAGATAGGGAGCCATGAGAGTGCCCAGGTGGGACAATTCTCTGCTTCTCACAGACCCCTGGGGGTAAAAACTAGTTGCTGTGCTCAGTCTTCCTTTTCAAGCATTTCTGCTTGATTAGGGCTTTAAGAAAATGAAAGTTGTTGTTTTAACGTAAAATTTAAAATGAATCTTTCTAGTGTCACAGATCATTGGTAATTTTGCTAATACACATTTAGACAGTATTTCTTATCAAATACTTCAAAATGTTTGTTGACAAATACACTGTCCTAACGCAGCTTGTGTGTATGGTATTTAATTCTCATTTTTTAAAAAACAATTGTGGGGCGCCTTGGGTGGCTCGGTCGGTTAAGCGTCCGACTTCGGCTCAGGTCATGATCTCACGGTCCGTGAGTTCGAGCCCCGCGTCGGGCTCTGTGCTGACAGCTCAGAGCCTGGAGCCTGTTTCAGATTCTGTGTCTTCCTCTCTCTCTGCCCCTCCCCTGTTCGTGCTCTGTCTCTCTCTGTCTCAAAAAAAATAAAACGTTAAAAAAAAAATTAAAAAAAAAAACAAAAAAACAATTGTTATGGGAAATTTCAAAGACCTATAAAAGTAGAGAGAGTGGTATAATGAACCCCCATAGGCCCATCACCCATCTGTGTAGATACCGTTGTTCCACCAATCCTCCCCCCATCTATTTTCTTTTTTTGGTGTTTTTTTGGTATATATATATACCAGGCATCATATGATTTTACTCCTAGTTACTTCAGTAAGCATCTTTATCAAATAAGGACTTAAAAAAAATTTACAAGGGCACCTGAGTGGCTCAGTCGGTTGAGCATCCGACTTCAGCTCGGGTCATGATCTCACAGTCTGTGAGTTCGAGCCCCGTGTTGGGCTCTGTGCTGACAGCTCAGAGCCCGGAGCCTGCTTCAGATTCCGTGTCTCCCTCTCTCTCTTACCCTCCCCCATTCATGCTCTGTCTCTCTCTGTCTCAAAAATAAATTAACGTTAAAAAAAAAATTCAGAAAACCATTGGGGTACCTGGGTGGCTCCGTTGGTTAAGCTTCTGACTCTTGATCTAGGCTCAGGTCATGATCTCACTGTTCGTGAGACCGAGCCCCACATAGGTCTCTGCGACGACAGCTCAGAGCCTGCTTGGGATTCTGTCTCTCCATCTCCCTCTGTTCCTCTGCTGCTCGCACTCTGTCTCTCAAAATAAATAAATAAACTTAAAAAAAGAAACATTGTCATAAACAAACCACACAATAATTCCTTAATATCAGTTAATTCCTAGCCCATATTAAAATTTTCCCAGTTGTCTCAGTGATGTTATTTTACAGCTGGTTTGCTTGAATCAGGGTCAAAAACAGTTCTATATATCATATTTGGTTGTTGCATCTACTTGGGTTGCTTTAACAAAATATCACAGAATAGATGTCTTAATATTTATTTTCCCACAGTTCTGGAGGCTAGAAGTCTGAGATCAAGTCTAAGATTAAGGTGTTTGCAGGGTTGGTGTCTAATGAGAGCTCTCTCTTTGTGGTTGCAGATGGCCACTTCTGGTTGTGTCCTCATGGAGGAGAGAAAGTGAGCTCTGGTGTTGCTTCCTTTTCTTAAAAGGACACCAGCATATCAGGTTAGGGCCCTATGTTAATGATCCCATTTAACCATTATCACCTCTTCACAGCCCCTATCTCCAAATACAGCTTACTCTGAACAACTGTGTGTATTGGGGGTGGGGGGTGGCTATAGGTGCTGACCCCGCCCCCAGCAGTCGAAAATCTCTGTGTACTTGACTTTCCCAAAACTTAACCATTCATAGCTTACTGTTGACTGAAAATCTTACTGATAATGTAAACAATGATTAACACATGTTTTGTTATATGTATTACATACTGTATGTTTACAGTAAGCTAAAGAAAAAATATTATTAAGAAAATTAATCATAGGGGCGCCTGGGTGGCTCAGTTGGTTAAGCGTCCGACTTTGACTCAGGTCATGATCTCGCGGTTTGTGGGTTCCAGCCCCACGCTGGGCTCTGTGCTGATGACTTGGGAGCCTGGAGCCTGCTTCGGATTCTGTGTCTCCCACTCTCTCTGGCCCTCCCCTGCTTGTGCTCTGTCTCTCTCTTAAAAATGAATAAACATTAGGAAAAAAAAAAAAGAAAATCATAAAGAAAATACATTTATAGTATTGTACTGTAAAAAAAAAACCCCAAAACCCTGCATATAAGTGGACCCTCACAGTTCAAACTTGTGTTGTTCAAGAGTCAACAGTTTAGTCATACTGGCCAGGAAGGCTTCAACAATGAACTTGGGGGGTGGGGTGGGGCGCGTATCACAGGCATTCAGTCCACAACAGTTTTGTCTCTTGTCTCTTTTATTCTATAAGTGCTCCCCCCAGCCCCCCAAATGGTACTGGTTTGTCACTTGTTCTGTAGAATTTCCTAAATTCTGTATTTGGCCAAGTATTTCTTCATCGTGTCACTTGATTAGGTTTGGATTTAAATTTTTTTCTGTAATACTTTATAATAGTTGTTACCATTCACTTTATTAACAGCAAAGCAAAAACCTATGTAATACAAGCCATAAAAACAAGTACAAATTTCCATTTGTATTTTTCAGAGTCCAGTTTGTAGGATGCAGGTCTAAAATTGCTCCATCAACCCATTTTAAAGTTTATTTATTTATTTAGTGAGAGAGAGCGGGGGAGGGGCAGAGAGGGAGAGAAGGAATCCTCAACAGGCTCCGCACTGCCAGCGCAGAGCCCGGTGTGGGGCTTGAACCCCCAAACCGTGAGATCATGACCTGAGCCCAAACCAAGAGTCGGACACTCAACCAACTGAGCCACCCAGGTGCCCCTCCATCAACCCATATTAAAGAGCACTGTTAGCTTCAGGGTTAACCTGTAAAACCTTCAGATTTTGTTTATTAAAATCGTATGGGTTTTTGACAATTCAAGAGTCTGTTTTTGGATTTTAATAAACTAAGTGAATTACCTACTTTATTTTTAATTTATTCAACAAAAACTCCCATAACATTGAGAGAAGTTTAACCTTGTAGTGCTCAGAAACTAGGATTAAAAATTGCATAATCACAAGAGAAGAAAGAGGACTTTTATGGGAAGGACCCAAACATCCTGGGAGGAGGTAGCAGTGGACCTGACCTTGTGGGACATGAAGTATTTAGATGTTTGGGAGAAAATGGGGAAGGACATTATAAACCGAAGGAACCTATGACCATAGCAAAGAATGGCCCAATGATTAGAGTTTCTTTCTTTTTAAAAAATTTTTTTAAAAAATGTTTATTTTTGAGAGGTCGGGGAGGGACAGAGAAAGAGGGAGACACAGAATCTGAAACGGGCTCAGGCTCTGAGCTGTCAGCACAGAGCCCGATGCGGGGCTCGAACTCACGAGTTGTGAGATCACGACCTGAGCCGAAGTCAGACGCTTAATCAACGGAGCCACCCAGGCGGCCTGATTAGAATTTCTACTAGTCACAAGAAAGGGATTCTCTAGAGCCGGTCCTTAGGGTGCAAGAGAAGTCTGGACAGATAGGTTGGCAGGTGGATTATCAAGTACCCTGAGATCTGGGCTTTATAAGTGATAGTGAACCATCAGAAGTGTGTGCGCCATTGTCCCAAAAGCCAGGCTTTTTAAAACTTAATTCTTACAAAAGTAGGCAAGGATCAGATCACTGGACTAATGAGAAAAATGTAGATTAAATGATTTCTTCGAGATACCCAGCAAGTCTGTGGTGATGATGACGGCAACAGTAGTAATGAAAATAGTAACACCTGACATTCACCGAGCATTTTCTATGGCCAGGTCTTATTCTAAGCATTTTATAGACATGATCCCATTTTTTCCTCTCAACAGCCATAGGAACTAGGTACTGATATCATCTCCATGTCACAGATGAAGAAATCTGAGAGCACTTTGGTAACTTGTCCAAGAACAGCTTGTAAGAAGCTAGGCCAGGAATGGAGCCTGGGCCATTTAGCTTCAGCCTGTGCCTTTAGTTGCTGGCTTCCTAGGCAGCTGGGTTTTTTAAACAGGCAAGTGACTGGATCAGAATTGTAGCGACACTGTGTGGCTCCAGTGTGGATGATGAATCGAAGAAGAGAGAGACCAAGGATAGGAAGGCCCGAGAGGAGGCTGTAATTGTCCAAATGTATGTTGGTGAGAACTTGAGTTGGAAACAGGTGAGGTCTATTTGGAAGACAGAATTAGGGCCTGGTTGGGATAGTACACAGTATGTTATGTTTGGCAATTTACTCATCGTCTCCCTTACTAGACTGTAAGAAATCTGAAGGCAGGGACTGCCTGTCACTGCTCAGTCCTCTGCCTTGAACATCACAGGTACTCAATAAATATTAGTTGAGTGAAAGCATTAGAGAGGATGGAGTCTTAGTGACTCCAAGCCCTTTAGCATGGGGAATGGGGGGGGGGCGGGTGTGGGGCTGGTGGTGATCATTCATCAAGGCAGAGAGAATGGGCATTGGAGCAGGGGGAGGGAATGTTGATGGGGAGAGATGCTGTCGAGTTGGGGCACGTTCGGTTGGTCTGGCTGATGGTCAAGTGTAACCACAGCAAACACTTTGGTAGACTTACTGTATTCTGGGTACCATTCTAAGTGCCTTTCATACATAGGTGCCTTTGTTATCCAGAATCAGGAAATGAATAATTCCGGGTAGCAAGAGGCATTATATGATTTAAACTTCACTACAACCCCGTAAGATAGGCACTGTGATCATCATCATTATTCCCACTTAGGAGATTCAGCTGAGCCACGGAAAAGTGAAACAACTGGTCTACAGGACCATATAAATAGCAGTCAAAAAGTACTCTGTACGGCACCATAGGATTGACATCCCTGAGTCTTCACAGTCTTCACCAGTGACAAGAGTGAGCTTTAAGGCTTTAAGGCCTCAAAAGCTCTTTAAAGCCTAAAGGCTCTTGAAGGGTGGTGCATGGGGACTGGGCTGGTTCAGGCTGTGTCAGAAGTGCTCTCAGAGCCCACTGAGTGGGCTGTGTGCTCAGCCCAGCCTTCAAGGACTGTCCCCACTCCCTGCCCCTATTCATCTCTAGCTGTATCTGCTCACTCTCAGCTACTTTGGGTCCCACCCAGTCCCAGAACAAAGGGGATTTGCAGGGAGGACTAGAAGATGGAATCAGAAAAGGAGGTGTTCTCTGAGGGCTGGGTGAATTCTAGTTGTATCTTCCCTATAACTCTATTTGTCTATTTTTCCCTTTCTTTTTCTCTCCCTCATGCCCTTTCCCCTCCCCTCCTCTCCCCATCTTCCCCAGCTGTGCTGACTGTCCTCACCCACACCCCCACCCCTCGGATCCGACTGGGACAAGATGCTCTGCTGGACTTGAAGTTTGCCTACATGCCCCCCACCTCTGAGGCCGCTACATCTCTGGCCCCAGGTCCCCCTCCCTTTGGGCTGGAGTGGCGACGCCAGCACCTGGGCAAAGGGCACCTACTCCTGGCTGCAACGCCTGGGCTGAGTGAGCAAATGCCACCTGCCCAAGAGGGGGCAGTGGCATTTGCTGCTTGGGATGATGATGAGCCGTGGGGTCCGTGGACTGGAAATGGGACCCTCTGGCTGCCTGCAATGCAGCCCTTCCAGGAGGGCACCTATCTGGCCACTGTACACCTGCCATACCTGCAAGGGCAGGTCGCTCTGGAGCTTGCTGTACAGAGTGAGTTGGGGTCCAGGGGTCCCCACGGGTAAAGGATGGGCACTGGCATTATGGGGACATCATGATGGAAGAGGGATAGGGGAGAAGAGGGTGCTGGGCGAGTGATGGGAGGTAGATTGGGGTCCCCGGGCTTCCGAGGGGCAATGGTGGAAGTCCCTGGGAATCTGAGTGACTGGGATAAAGGTTCCCAAATCTGAGGAAGAGGCGTCCCTGGGATTGAGGGTTTTAGCATGGGAATCCCTCTGAAGCACCAGTGGGGAGACAGCGGGTTCCCCATCCTAGGAGAGAAAAACTCAAACCCAGTTTGGGGGAAGCCATGGGGCAAACTGAGGGTCTCCATGGGAGGACAATGTGGATTGATTCCCCCCCTGCTCCTTTCATGTTTTCTCCCCAGAGCCACCCAAAGTATCCCTGACACCGGCACCTCTTGTATGGGCTACCCGGGGGGAGGCACCTCCCCAGTTGCAATGCCTCGTGTCCCACTTCTATCCCTCTGAGGGTCTGGAAGTGGAGTGGGAGCTCCGAGGTGGCCCAGAGGGCAGCTTTCAGAAGGCTGAGGGGCAGAAGTGGCTCTCTGCCTTGCTCCACCACTCAGACGGCACCGTCAGCCTCTCCGCGCACCTGCAGCCGGTCCCCATAACTGCCGAGCATCATGGGGCACGCTATGCCTGTCGTGTCCACCACCCCACCCTGCCGGCCTTGGGGCGCAGCGCAGAGGTCACCCTGGAGGTGGCAGGTAAGAGCCAGGAGGAGGATGGAGTGACCGGAGCGGGGAGTGGGGGCAGGGGAGGGGGTGGGCGCCCCGGGAAGATACTAAGGGGTTCACTTTTCTCCCTTCCACCTGCCAGGTCTGTCTGGGCCCACCCTGGAGGATGGTGTGGGCCTCTTCCTGTCTGCCTTTCTCCTCCTCGGGCTCATCAAAGCACTGGGCTGGGCTGGTGAGTGTGAGTCCCACCTAGACCCTGACCCCCACTGTGACCATGACAGTCCCTGCCTACTCCCAGAAGCCTGACACCTATCCCTCTCAATCTCATCTCCCCCATCCCATCCCTTCTCAATCTCTCTCCACAGCTGCCTACATGTGTACTTCGAAGGATTCAAAGGAGAAGGTAATAGCTCTCCTCTTCTTTTCTTTCCCTTTTCATTTGAGACCCTCCCTGCAACTCCTCACCGGTAGAGGAAGGCTCTGGCTTCCACTGGCATGGCGGGCAGAACCTGAACTTGGAATTCACACACACCTGGGTTGACTCCTGCCACTTTGAATATTCCACTTAAACCAACACCTCAGTTTCCTTGGGTGTGAGGGTAAAAAAAAAAAAAAAAAAAAAAAAAAATTAGGCAGCACTGTCCAACAGAAATATGATACAAGCCACATATGTACATTTAAATAATCTAGCAGCCACATCAAAAAGGTAAGAAGAGGTGCACCTGGACGGTTCGGTCAGTTAAGCGGCTGACTCTTGATCTCAGCTCAGGTCTTGATCTCAAGGTTTTGAGTTCAAGTCCTGCATTGGGCTGCACACTGGGCATGAAGCCTACTTAAAGAAAAGCAAAAAAAAACCCAAAAAACAAAAAACATCAAAAAAAAAAACCCGGTAAAATTTTTTTAAGCGATTAATTTTGAGAGAGAGAGAGAGAGAGAGCATGTGCACACGTACAAGTTGGGGGTTGGGTAGAGAGAGAGAAGGGAGACACAGAAGCCGAAGCAGGCTCCAGGCTCTGAGCTGCCAGCACAGAGCCCAACGTGGGGCTCGAACTCCCGAACCACGAGATCATGACCTGAGCTGAAGTCAGATGCTTAACTGACTGAGCCACCCAGGCGCCCCTAAAATTAATTTTAATAATACTCTTTCAGACTAGGCACATTTCAAATGTTCAAGAGACACATGTGGATGGTGGCTACTGTATAGACAGCAGAGCCTCTGAAGGCTGTTGGGAGGATTAAGCAAAAGCCCTTGGCAGTATCTGCCAGGCAGAAAACCCCCTGAAACTGTGAGCCCCATTCTTCTGCCACCCTCTGTGCCCATGATGGTGCATTTATCTCTGGACTGATCATGAGCATTTCACGTCACTTCCTAAAATCCGGCATTCCTCACCTTTTTATTTCTCTTCCAGAAAGCCCAGTGAGAACACTCACCACCATCCTGGGGAAGCCGCCGTCATCTGTGGTTTAAGCTACTGTACTAGCTCCACCAAATAGTACACCATCATCTGCTCATGCTCCCTCCAACCTCTCTCTCTCCAAGGAGCGGCTGGAATGCTTTTTTTAAAGGACACGAATCTATAGCATTTCCCTTCTTAGAGCTCTAAGGCAGGGGTTCTCGATTTTTGTTGTTGTTTTTCATCCCCGGACCACTTAAAAACGGTCAGGAACTCTAAAGAACCTTTGCTTATGTGGGTTATAAACTAGATATTAATGATACTAGAACTTAAAACTGAGAAAAATTTAACACAAGAACACATAAGCACGCATTCCATTAGCTGTGAGGACGATGAGGTCAATACTCAGCTGCTGGAAAACTCCACAGTACATTGTTTTTAGAGAATGAGAATGAAAAAGGCAAGTAACATCTTAGTATTGTTATGAATAGCCTTAATTTCATAAACCCACTGAAACAGTCTCCAGGACCACTGGGACAGGCGTCACATTGGGGAACCAGTGCTCTAGAAGCTAAATCCGTTCTTGTCCTGGCCTGTGCATCTCCCACGTTGGAGCCACTGCTTGCCTCTTCAACCCCACCTCTGCCCTCCAGCCCTCCCCTCAGTGTTCACCACACCGATGGCTATTCCTTTTCTCCAACGGCTCCCACCTTCCCTGGTCTGTGCCCTTTGTCTGTTCTGCCCTCGCCCTCTCTGGGCTCCAGGACAGCCTCGTTATTCCCTCAGACCGCTGCGTGTTCCTCCTGTACGGTTCATCAGTTGTATTTAAGTGATTGTACGAGTCGTTGTTAAATGCCTGTCTCCCTTTCCGGACCGTCGGCTCCTCAAAGGCAAGGACGTGCCTGTCTGTCCACTGCTGTGTCCCGCTGCGGCACAGGGCCGGGCGCCCACTGGAGGGCGCTCATCAGAAGAAATTAGTCTTTTTTACATCCTAAGTATTGAACAGCAAGTGTTGGGTCAGGTAACTACTGGACGAAGGAAGCGGCGGCTTGGCCTAGGGACATCCGAGGGGCAGGACAGTCGGCCAGGCCGCTGGAATAAAGTTATGCTCTGGTGCTCCCAACACCGTGTCTCCTTCCACCCCACGGGTCCCCTCTGCAAGCACAGACTCTTACAGTCACTTCTGGTTCCTGCCAATCTCCCCGACCTCTCGAACGTTTTGGCGACACCCGATCCTCCGGAACAGTTCGGGGTCGGGCGCCACCCAAGGCGGGGAGGACGCCCTCTAGCAAAGTGCACTGGGGGTGGGCAGAAGGGAGCGCAGATACCGGCGCCGAGCGCCGGAAACCCGGGAGTGTCGAATCTGGAACCGGATGTGTCGACTTCCTGCTCCGCCCCCTTGCGAGAGGGCCGGAACCCAGCGCTCTTCGGAAAACGCGGAGTGGATTGCAGTCCGCTACACGCGTGGGTGGGGAGTGTAACCCCGCGGGGTGGAGTAACAGATCCCTCTCCACCTAAAGCGCTTCCCACGGTTGTTTTAGCCTCGGCGTTGTGTAGTGGGGAGGGGAATGTCAAATTCGACCCCTGTCCTCCCTCGGGAGCTGGAGGCCGGCATCCATTCCAATTAAGTGTGGGGCGAAGAGGGCTCCAGGATCCCCGAGTAGGGGGTCCCGAGCACAGCGGAGCTGGGGACCCGGGCTCCTGGGTTCTGGCCGCTGGGCATCCAGGGCTCCCCTAGTCCGCAACCCTGGCTCCTGTCCTCACTTCCTTCCCTTTTTGGCTCCTGCTGTCGGAGCGGGCGGACGTGGGGGGGAGCGGAAAGGGCGGGAGGGCCCGGGAGCCTGGCGGGGGGGTAACGGGGGTGCGGAAAAGCCGAGGAGGGGACTCGGTCCAGGGACTCGTTTGGGGACTGGAGACCGACGGGAACAGCGGCCCGGGACCCGCGCTGCTCCCACCATTCCCTGAGCAGGTCAGAGCCAGAACACCCTGTGACCCTGCCCGTTCTCGTACTCGTGACCCCCTCATCCCCCAAATGCACCAGGGCCCCCCATATTCCACTCCTATGTTGCCCCCCCCAGGACCTCCATACGGTTACCTAGGCACCCACCCGCATCCCTCTCCTCCCCGATCCCCCGCGCCAACCTGACTCTCCACCTGCCCCCCCCTCCGTTTCTCCCCAGGCGCCCCCATGGCCCGACCCCGCTGATTCCTTCACTCGGCCATGCTCCCGCGGCCCCTGCGGCTGCTTTGGGACACGAGCCCCCCCGGGGGAGTCGTGCTGAGCAGCTTCCGGAGCCGAGACCCCGAAGAGGGTGGGGGCCCAAGTGGCCAGGGCGTGGGCGGGGGGCAGGAGGAAGAGGAGGAGGAGGAAGAAGACGAGGTGAGACGCGGGTGGTGGGAAGTCGGGGAGGTATAAATTTCGGAGACTCTCCACCTTTCTCTGGTGTCTGTGTGTCCCTTCATCTCTTTCCCTCAGCCTCCGTAATTTCCGCGCCTCTTGCTGGGTGGCTGCCTGTCTCCCCGCTGCGGGGAGTCCCGGAATTTCTGTGGTTCTCTGTGGCAGTGTGACTCAGGACCTGCCCGCAGGAACCTTCCCTGTTACTGCCAGAGCGTCTGGCTCTCTGTCCTGCGGGTCTCAGGCTCTACCTGCTTATGCCAGAGTGTGCCTGCCTCTTTGGGCATTGTGTCTTGGTCCCTGTCTCCCTCCTTGTTTTTGTTTGGCGGGGAGGGGTTTGTTTCCACAGTAACCGACTCCTCTGACTCTGGGATTGGGAGGGAACCCTTCGATTTTGTGACCCCTCCCCCTCTCCTGCTGGGCAATGAGTGGAGGCGGGAAGCCCAGGTTCTCCGACTTTGGAGGAAAGATCCCAGATTGAGTGTGTGTGTGGGGGGGTAACCAGCTTTCCTCCGGGACTAATGGTGGTGGCCGGAAGCAGGATTCGGGGCCTCAGGAGGGGCCAGAAATTGGATTCGGGGCCCCAAGGCCCTGGACTCCTGGGTCCAGAGACTGGGTGAGGGCAGGGTGACTGGCAGGGCTGGTTTTTCGGGATCGGTTGGGGGAGGGGCTGGGGCCACGTGACTCTGAGTCTGCGCCCCCCCTCCCCCCCCAATCATCCCAACTTCCCCTTCTCCTTCCTGTACTGGGATTTGAGCCGCCACCTCGAGGGGGTCTCCAGCATTGAGGGACCAGGGGGAAGGGGGCTAAGGGGAAGGACTATCTCTTAGGGCTCGGTCAGTTCCTGCGGGGGAGGGGGGGAGGGCGGAGCTTGCGGCTGTGCCTGTGACTGAGGTTCCAGCTTCTCAAGGTCTCTGCCTCTGGCTTTCTGCCTCTCTCGCTTCCCCTTGCACCTTGCTTCTGTGCTGTGTTGGGGTTCAGCTCTGGGGGGAAAGGGCCACAGCGGTCTCCAGGCCCAGGGTTCGTGCATCCCACCCACCTCCCCACTGCCACCCCCTCGACTCCACCGGGCCCTGAGGCGGCTTGGGGGGGGCTGTCTGGGCCCCAGTGGGGGAGACCTGGGGTCACCAGCCCCCCCCCACCCCTCGCACTCGCTGGTACTGTCCCCCGCCACCACAGGTGAGGGGTACAGAGGGAGGAGTAGGGCCTGGGGGTGAGGGCTGGGGCCTGTGGGGGGTGGTGTCGGATTGTCTGACTTCCCCTTCCTTGCTCCTCCAGGCCCCTGTGTCTGTCTGGGATGAGGAGGAGGATGGTGCCATCTTTACTGTCACAAGCCGCCAGTATCGGCCTCTTGATCCCCTGGTGAGATCCTGACTTTGGCTTCTCACCTCTGACCCATCATCACCACCCAGCCCCCTTTCCTCTGGCCAACTTTTTGGCCAGAGTGCTGAGTTGGAGGTCTAGAGACCTGGACTCTGCCATGTGACTTAGATCAAGTCTTTTGCCCTCTCTGAATCTCCTATGACGAGCCTGGACCATCTCCTAGGTCTGGGATTTTCCCCAGAGATCTAGGGGCAAAGGTGAAAAAAGGGTCAGTAATTGTCCTTCTGTCTCCAACAGGCCCCAACGCCTCCCCCGCGTTCCTCTCGAAGGCTCCGAGCTGGCACTCTGGAGGCCCTGGTCAGACACTTGCTGGATGCTCGGACATCAGGGGCTGACGTGACCTTCACATCAGCTTTCCTGGCCACCCACCGGGCCTTCACCTCCACGCCTGCCCTGCTAGGGCTTGTGGCTGACAGGTCAGGGTCATAAGGGACCAAGATGGTATCTGGCTTTCTAAAGCCAGAAAATCCCACCAAAGTAGTCAAAGCCACTGGGGGTTGGGAAAAAAATGGGCAGATAGAATCTCTTCTTCCAGGCTGGAAGCTCTTGAATCTCATCCTACTGATGAACTAGAGAGGACAATAGGGTGAGTGACCCCGACTGTTAACCTCACAGTTCCCTCTGGCTGAGCTGCAGCTTGATACCTGACCCCTGGCTGCTTCCCCTTCTCCCAGGGTAGCCATCTCTGTACTGTCAACCTGGCTGGCCTCTCACCCTGAGGATTTTGGCTCTGAGGTCAAGGGTCAGCTTGACCGGCTTGAGAGCTTCTTGCTTCGGACAGGGTATGCAGCAGGGGAGGGTGTTGGGGGGGGCAGCGCTGACCTCATCCGCAACCTCCGGTCCCGGGTGGACCCCCAGGCCCCAGACCTTCCTAAGTCCCTGGCCCTCCCCGGCGACCCCCCTGCTGACCCCACGGATGTCCTGGTGTTCCTCGCTGACCACTTGGCCGAACAGCTGACCCTGCTAGATGCGGTGAGACCCTGACCTCTGACCCCATCCCCCCCCGCCCCCTTACTAACCTCTCCCTCACTCCAGATCCTTTCCTTGCTTCCAACCCTTCCTGATCCAGCTCCCAGCTTCCTCTGTCCACTCAGTTTTGACCTTTCTCCCTTTCCCCTTGATTGTTACCCTTCACACCCTGTGCCCCTTTGGTTCCTTGGCCACCTGAGATCCTCACACCTTTGATATTGGAAGGCTGACCTCGCTTGACTATGAGCCTTAACCTCTGACCTCTGCCCTGCAGGAGCTGTTTCTCAATCTGGTCCCCTCTCAGTGCCTGGGGAGCCTGTGGGGTCATAGAGACCGGCCAGGACATTCCCACCTCTGCCCATCCGTCAGAGCTACTGTCACACAGTTCAACAAGGTGGCAGGGGCTGTGGTCAGCTCTGTCCTGGGGGCTACCTCAACTGGAGAGGGGCCTGGAGAGGTGACCATTCGGCCACTCCGTCCTCCCCAGAGGGCTCGGCTCCTGGAGAAGTGGATCCGTGTGGCAGAGGTAAGAGAGAGGCTTGGCCTCGTTGGGGACCCTGGTGTTGAGAGAGAGGTCCCAAAGCTCTGGCCTGCCTCTGTGACCCCCACAGGAGTGTCGTCTGCTCCGAAACTTCTCTTCGGTTTATGCTGTTGTGTCGGCCCTGCAGTCCAGCCCCATCCACAGGCTTCGAGCAGCCTGGGGAGAAGCAGCCAGGTGGGGAGGATGGGGCACCGGCCTGGAGCTGAGGGCTGGGAAGAGGCGTGGGGGTGAGCCTGGCCCATCCTCAAGGTTGCTGCCTTCCACCCCTCAGGGACAGCCTCAGAGTCTTCTCCAGCCTCTGCCAGATTTTCTCCGAGGAGGATAATTATTCCCAGAGCCGGGAGCTCCTCCTGCAGGTGAGGCCCTATTCCCTGGTGTTCCCAGCCACCCCTGCTCCCCGTGCTGCACGTGCCACACCTATATCTCCTTGTTCTGTCCCCTCCCTCCCCCCGCCCAGGAGGCGAAGCTGCAGCCCTCTCTGGAGCCAAATTCCAAGAAGGCCCCGAGGTCTGGCTCCCGGGGTGGGGTGAGTGACCAGTTGGGGGGTGGTTGTGAAGGAGTAAGGAGTGTGTGGGGGGCAGCAGACTGAGGGATGTAGAGGGGAGGCATAGCGGGGTGGGGGAATTAAATTTGTCCTTCAAGACAATGGGATAGGAAAGTGCAGAGCAATGGAGAGCTCTCAGATCCGGGGCGGGGGGTCTAATCCTGACCTCTGACCTCAGGGTGTGGTCCCATATCTTGGCACCTTCTTGAAGGACCTGGTGATGCTGGATGCAGCCTCCAAGGATGAGCTGGAGGTCGGTGGTGTGTGTGTTAATGTGTGCATTGTGATGAGGGAACAAATGGGCCTCAGGGCCAGACAGACCTTCCAGAAAGGTGCCGTGGGGTGTTAGCGCTTGAACTCCAGGGCTCGAGCCAGATTGCCAGAATTCTGGTTCTGTTACTTGGGCAAGTTGCTTGACTTCTTTGTGCCTAGTGATCTGTAAACAGGAAACCAGTGACAGTGTCTATGTCAGTCTGTTATTATGAGGATTAAGTGAATTAATGTTTGGCAAGTGCTTAGAACGTGCCCTAAATGTAAGCATATGTAGCATTTGTTAAATAAACAAACATTGAGATCTTGGGCAAGTTCCTCATTCTCTCTGAGCCCTGATTTTCTCATCTATGAAATGGACACCCTTTCTACCTGTGACCATTCAATTTCAAGGGTAAAGTAGGGGGCTTAGGGCATGACGGGAGTGAGGGGGAGCCAGGGAAAGGACGGAGGAGTCAGAGGCCTAGCGAATGAAGTGTGTGTGAGTTGAATGTGGATGTGTGTGTGCTTGGAAAGGGGTAGTCTCTCTGTGGCAGGGTTGGGCTTCACCCCATCCCCATTATTTTTGCAGAACGGATACATCAATTTTGACAAGCGGAGGAAGGTGAGGGGAGTGCATGGGCCGGATGCTAGACATCTCTAGTCATGTCCCAGGAAGGGGAGGGAGATGGGGAAAGTCGGGGGTCCCTGAGTTTTGGCTCCTGCAGACTGTCGGCTCCTTCCTAGGAGTTTGCTGTCCTTTCGGAACTGCGGCGGCTCCAGAACGAATGTCGTGGCTATGACCTCCGACCTGACCCTGATATTCAGCGGTGGCTACAGGGGCTCCGGCCACTGACAGAGGCCCAGAGGTGACTGGCTGGGCAAGGTTGGGACTCCAGGGCTGGGGTTGAGTGTGGGGATCGGTGTGTCACGTCCTGACTTCTGCCCATTTCCCCCCCTTCACAGCCATCGAGTATCCTGTGAGGTGGAGCCACCTGGTACCAGTGACCCTCCTGCCCCACGGGTGCTTCGGCCAACGCTGGTCATCTCACAGTGGACAGAGTGAGGGAGTCCGCGGGAAGGGGGGGTAGCATCTTGGGGAAGCTACTTGGGAGAAGAGCCCTTCTTCTTCTGACCCTCCCTGTCTCTTGCCACTCCAGGGTTCTGGGCTCTGTTGGAGGTCCCACCCCTCTTGTCTCCTGGGACCGGCCCAGTGTCGGGGGAGGTGACGTACCTGGAGCCCCTGCCCCTCTGCTGACGCGGCTGGCCCAGGTGAGCCCTGTTCCTGATCTCTGACCTCTGACTCAACACTGAACCTGCCCTTGTGAATGTTTCTTGCTTGACTTCTCTGCCTTCATGCCAGTCCCTCATGTTGTTTGTCCCCAGCACATGAAGTGGCCATCTGTCTCATCTCTGGACTCTGCCCTGGAAAGCACTCCATCTTTGCACAGTCCGGCTGACCCCAGCCACCTCTCTCCCCCAGCGTCCTCTCCCAGGCCTTCTCGAGGTCACCGCCGCTCCGCCTCCTGTGGCTCCCCACTCAGTGGGGGTGCAGAGGGGGCCTCCAGGGGGACTGGATGTGGGGGAGGGGGGCCTGGGCCAGGGGCCTCTGATTGCCGAATCATCCGAGTCCAGATGGAGCTGGGGGAAGATGGTAGCGTCTACAAGAGCATCTTGGTGAGGAAGCTGTGGACTGGGGGTAGGGGTGAAGGATGATGCCTTGTGGGGCTACAGGTGTTGTCTTAGGTTTGAATAGCCAAGAAGAGGATGATTCTAGTTTTAATTCTGACCTTTGGTTATGGCAGCTGTTTTCTTATTTTTTTATTTATTTACCTTGAGAGGGACAGAGAGAGTGTGCGCACATAAGTGGGGAAGGGACAGAGGGAGGGAGGGAGAGAGAGGGAGAGAGAGAGGGCATCCCGAGCAGGCTCCATGCTGTCAGTGCGGAGCCCAGCTCGGGGCTTGATCTCAAGAGCCGTGAGATCATGACCTGAGCTGAAACCAGGAGTCGGATGCTTAACTGACTGAGTCACCCAGGCTCCCCAAGGTTATGGCAGCTGTTTTATTTTAAAGGCTACTTTGCATTAGCTGCTGCACCTTGAATTTTGGTGGCCATATTAGATTTATAGAACCAACAGTTTTGTCATAGGGAAGCAGCCCTATTTCACTGGACACCATGGAGTATAGGCTTGTGCGGTACAGGGAACCACCGTATAGGGTTTCCCTGTTCATTCTAAAGTGTTTGACACCGGTAACCATTTTTGGTTGGGATCAGTGGTTAGAACTGAAGGGCTAGAAAGCAGAGGTGATGGCCAATTTATTGTCCTTTTGGTCTCTGTCCTACCAGGTGACAAGCCAGGACAAGGCTCCGAGTGTCATTAGTCGTGTCCTTAAAAAAAACAATCGTGATTCTGCAGTGGCTTCGGAGTATGAGCTAGTGCAGCTGCTACCGGGGGAGCGAGGTGAGAGGCCATGAAGGAAGTCAGATTTGGGCGGAGAGGGATGCCCAGCAGTGGGAAGGCGTCCACAACCAGGTGGTTGTGGGGGGAATGACCATGTTTGTTCTCGACACTCCCTCTCTGAACACACAGAGCTGACCATCCCACCCTCGGCTAACGTCTTCTACGCTATGGATGGAGCTTCGCACGATTTCCTTCTACGGCAGCGGCGAAGGCCCTCTCTTGCTACACTGGGTCTCACCAGCAGCCCCTCTGCCTCAGGAACTCCCCCAAGTGAGGGAGGAGGGGGTTCCTTTCCCAGGATCAAGGCCACAGGGAGGAAGATTGCCCGGGCACTGTTCTGAGGAGGAAGCCCTGCCGGCACAACAGAACTCATGGTGGCCATAGCAGATGTGGGTAGCCATCCTGAATGGTGGCAGTCATGTTGCACTGGGAAGAAACCCAGAAAGGTGGCCAACCACCCTGGGGCAGTGAAGTGCCACTGGTTTACCAGACGGCTGAGGGATTCAGCTTTGGGGGAACTGGTAATCTTGGTAACCAAGTTGGATACCTGTGTGTAGCTCCCTACTTTCCATGAATGCGGCACACAGCTAGTGGTAGAAAATGGAATCGGTTTCTGATTCCTGGCCACATCCTAGCATACCAAGGGCCAAGGAAAGGCCTGCAAGGAGGGAGAGAAGAAAAGCCTAGAGGCTCTGAGCCCTGGGGAGAGGGGATGGCAAGAAGTAGGTTCTAGTAGGAGTTCTTTTTCCTACTGTGGGGTTTCCTGTCACTGTGACAACACTAAGATAATAAACCAAAACACTACGTAAATTCTACTCCCTTGTCGTTGCAGTGTGTATGGTCTAGCTGCTGGGAGTGGGGGTAGAGAGTTGGCTGAAGGTAGACGCCAAGTAACAAGAGGGAGGCCAGTGTTTTCTCCCCATTTCTATCCCATTGCTGAAAGTGAGGTGTTGGTGAAAACAGTTTCCTCACAAGTTTTTGTGAGGAAATTGCTCCCCAGCAACCCCTCCACCCCAGTCCTTTTATTTGCTCTTAAGTTTTTCTCTGCAGTTGTCACAGACCCATGTCAAGTACCACCCACCCAATTAAACTGATCCATATGAAGGACAACCCCCGGTTGAAAATTTGTAAGAAACAATTTTAGGACAAAGAAAAGGAAGAACAACTCTGTGGATACTGTCTAAACTTGGTGCATCCCATGTTGGGATTTCAAATCCGTCTAAGCTACATTCAAACACATTCCAGAAAGAGACTGACGAGAGATGCCAGGGCTATTTGGAAGATGGCAAGAAATCATAGCAAGGAGGGTCACCACATTTCACCCTGCAGTCTGTTTAGATTACTGTTGAGTCCGGCAATTGAACTGACATTCCCGACAACTGTTGTGATGCAAATGCCCTTCCCGTGTTTCTTAAAGGGGTTTGCCACCCAAGATAAGGGAGAATTCAGCGTTGCACATATAGGCAAGAAGTAGGTTTGAGACATTTCAGATTTTACTCTCAAGAAAGAAAAAAGGATTACTCTGCCACAGAGAGATTCCAGTTATAAGAATTTGGGACCTGAGGGAGTAATATAGGTGGTGTATATATAAAGTGAAAGGGGCTCCGGGGACAGATGGGAGACAATTATGACAGAAGTGGCTGGTCAGAAAACAGCCAGGTGTTTTCACATTTTATTAGCTACAGTATAGACCCTAGAGCTGCCTCATTCCCTCCCCTCCCCTTCCCCCCACCACGGGGTCAGGCCTTCCCAGAAGCCCCTGCCTTGGCTGCCTGGGCCCGCTGGAACTCCTGCTGCAGCTGAGCCAGGGTCTCCCTCTGTTGCTCTGACTGCCGTTCGAGGTCGCGGAGCTGCGATTCATATCGCTTACTGAAGAGAGGCAAGAGAGACAAGCAAATAAGGAGAAATTAATGGGACTTACTAAGGAAGGTGATGAAAGCAAGGAAGAGATTGATGGGGAGGAACTGGACAACCGGGGGGAGGGGGGTACTCTGGAGCTACACTATAATGGTTTTGGAACACCTCTCCCCCAGCCCTGTCGGGTGCATTGCAGGCTGGTGGAAGAAAGACTCACATTTCAGCTGTGATATAGTCCAGCCTCTTCCCCACTGTGGCGCGAGCCTCTCCCAGCTCCTGTTTGACCAGCACAGGACCCAGAAGTTTAAAGACCACGTTGGACCCATCTAGCAGGGCCAGTTCCTGGTGGAGGGATGGGGCATAAATGATCAATCACTGCCAGTATAGGTCCCTCCTCGCCCCCCCCCCACCCCGCCCCGCAAATCCCTCTCTCACCTCCTTCACAATATTATTTTCTGTTAGTTGCGCCTCAAGCTTCTGCCGCCCTGACATGGATTTACTCAAGTCTGGGGGTTGGGGGGGAAAGGTTTGATTAGCAACATCAAATGTGCCGCCTGACCCCAATGCTGGAGAGAACAAAATGGAGCTGAGGAAGTAGGCAAGGACGAGGCGGCTGGTCAGTGGATGGGGAAGAGCATTGAGATGGGGGAAGGAGCTGCCCGCGGGGACTCGGGCAGAAACATTATCTTGGTTTGGCTCTGGACTGTGAGTGAAGGGATTGTGGCGAGGCCACACCGACCCTGCTCCCTTACCCTTCTGTAGCTGCTGATATTTCTCCACTTCTCCCTGTAGCTTCTTCTGGATTAGCTCAGCCATGGCGGGGACGAAGGCCTGCGGGGAGCGGGAGAGGGGCGCAGGGTCTCACTCTGGGAGGTACTCAAGCTCCCCTTTCTGGCCTGGCCTGCGGAAATGACAGCACTGTTGAGAGACACCCTCCCGGGGCACCGCAGCCTCTCCCCGTCCCGCAGAGCCACTCTATCCCGGTCCCAGGGGGAGGCGGCTGAGGCTAAGACCCCCAAACCCCTCAACCGTAACCCAGCCCTACTCACGTTCTCCCTTCACTATTACTAAACCTGGAAGTAAACAAAGGATGCTGGGAAAAGAGGGTGCCGGAAGTTGTCCTCCTACGCATGTCGGGAACTGTAGTTTGGGCAGGTTTAATGAATGGTGTTCCGCCAAAAAAGACTGGACTCGGGAAGGTTTAGGCAAGATGGGGAAACGAAGCCGGAAAGAGTATTGTTTCTTGGGCCCCAGCCTCAGACTACTTTTCATTCATTACTCGGGCATAAGCTGCTGCTCCAGATGGCGGGGCCAACGCCAGCCCCGCCCCTCGAGAGAGAGAGAGAGAGAGAGAGAGAGAGAGAGAGAGAGAGAGAGGAGAGAGAGAGAGCGAGAGCCCTCATTTAAGATGGCGCTTAGAAGGCTTCAGATCTGGTACGGCGCTGATTGGATGAGGGCCGGCCGACTTCCGGGAGTTTCCAAGCCGACTGTGGGACAGCTGAGAGGAGTTTTGCACGTGGATCGTCGTTCGGGTGGGCTAGATGGAGACAGTCCCCAAACCGAGCAGAGATGTCCCGCCCAAGAACAGACTTCAGGCCAAGAAGAAGGTAGAGACCTCCCTTGGGTGGAAGAGAAGTTTTTAGCTGTGGGGTCGCGGGGGGCGGGACGCGGCGCGGGCTGCTGAGTGTTAAGAGCTCCTGCTCTGCCCGTAGAAACCCCGGAGGTACTGGGAGGAAGAAACCAGTCTGACCGCTGCCGGAGCTTCTCCGGGGCCCCCTGGTAACAAGAAAAGGAATCGTGAGCTCCGCCACCAGAGGCCAAAGAACACTAACATCCCAAAAAAGTCTCGGTTCTCCAGAAAGCCTCAGCTTCCGAAGAAACCCCGAGAGCTGAGGAATCCGGAGCCTCAGCGGAGTTTGTCCGGGGTGAGCCTGGGACCTGATAAGGTGGTGGGGCAAGTCGCCTTGTACTTTACGCGTGCGAGGGTTGGGGGTCAGCCGTAGCCTGTCTTCTAATTATTACCTCCTTCCGCAGGCCCAGGATCCATTTCCAGGCCCTGCCCCCATCCCTGTGGAGGTGGCTCAGAAGTTCTGTCGCATTGACAAATCCAAAAAGGTGAGGACCAGCCAGAGAGTGGGGAAGGGTTGCAGCCCGAGAGTATATGAGTGGGGATGGAGAGGGGCTGTGTGGCTCTCGCGGAATCCTACATAATGTCTAGTTCTTCTCTCAACTCTCCACCACCAACGATATTATAGCTGCCGCATTCGAAATCCAAAACCCGAAGCCGACTTGAAGTGGCTGAAGCTGAGGAACAGGAAATAAGCATTAAAGCTGCTCGCTCTGAGCTGCTTCTGACTGAGGAACCCGGGTAAGTGGACTCTCGTGTGGGCCTCCCCAGGCCCTGCTTTATGGGGCTGTCCCTTATCATTTTCACGCTGGTACACCCACTTCATATTAGGAAGTTTTACTGCTAATACTCACTCCTAGGTTTCTGGAAGGGGAGGATGGGGAGGACACGGCAAAGATACGCCAGGTGGACATTGTGGAGGCTGTGGATATTGCAAGTGCAGCCAAGGTGAGTCTGAGATTGGAAAAGGGGCTACTGGCTACATTGGTGGTGCAGAGCAAGACGGAAGTGGGGACTACAAGAGGGAATTATTGAAAGAAGCCAATTATTTCTTGACTTTCTCTCTCTCTCTCTCTCCCCCCCCCCCCTTTTTTTTAATGATATTCCCTTTCCTAGCACTTTGATTTGAACTTGCGGCAGTTTGGACCCTACAGACTGAATTACTCCCGAACTGGAAGGTAAGGCTGGATGTCAGTGACTCTTGAACTAGGATATGGTTGCATCTCCTTAAACACTTCAGCCATGTTCACCTCAGCCAGGCCAGTGTATGTTTAGGCCGATGATGGGGGGAGGGGGGGGTCCTGTGATTTGCTTGCATGTGAGGTTGAGCATGTAAAAATGTCTCATTAGAGAGGAGGGGCTGGTGTGGGGCAGACCTCAGATGGTCTGAGTCACGGTGCTTCCCTGCACTGACACTGCCTGTTCCCCACCTCTAACAGACACCTGGCTTTTGGAGGGCGCCGGGGTCATGTGGCCACCCTTGACTGGGTAACAAAGAGGCTCATGTGCGAGATCAACGTCATGGAGGCAGTGCGGGACATCCGGTCAGTGGGGGGGCGAGGCATCCCATTCTCGATTGAATGACGGTCCCTTGACCCCTGTCCCACTGAACCACTCTTGCCTTCCTCCCAGGTTTCTGCATTCAGAGGCATTGTTTGCTGTCGCTCAGAATCGTTGGCTTCACATCTATGACAACCAGGGCATCGAGCTCCACTGTATCCGCCGCTGTGACCGTGTCACGCGGCTTGAGTTCCTGCCTTTTCACTTCCTTCTGGCCACGGCCGTGAGTGGCAATGGAACACGGGGACTGGGCGGCAGCCCTTGAGAAGACTGCTTCTTCTCTGAGATCCCACTAGAAGGACAGAGGGCAATCAGGACTCATTCTGATCTCTCTCTTTCTCTCAGTCAGAGACAGGGTTTCTGACCTACCTGGATGTGTCAGTGGGAAAGATCGTGGCAGCTCTGAATGCTCGGGCTGGACGGCTGGATGTCATGACTAAGAACCCTTACAATGCTGTTATCCATCTCGGACACAGCAACGGTTGGTCTCTAGCTGAGCTTTGACTCTTTGATCATCCTGACCTGCTTTGCTTCTATATTTGCACTTTGCACAGCCCCTTTAGATAGCCCCTGTTCCTCTCTCTTGATACCTGTTGGCCTTGAGACCCCATCTTTCCCAGGTATAATCCCCTTAGCGCCTGTTGATAACTTCAGCTCCTCTTCTCTCACATCTAGGAACTGTGTCCTTATGGAGTCCAGCCATGAAGGAGCCACTGGCAAAGATTCTCTGTCATCGTGGAGGGGTCCGGGCTGTGGCAGTAGATTCTACAGGCACGTAAGTCACTTGTTTGGTCATGAGGTGCTGGGGAGGTCGCCGCTGGATAGAAGAGTATAGAAAGCAGTATGCCTTTAGGAGCATAGACTTGCAGTCAAGCTGCCCAGATTTAAATCCTGGTGTTAGCCACTGACGGGCCACGTAAGCATGGGCACACTCCATAACCTCTGTGTGCCACACACTCTTTCATCACCCCAAGAGTGGGGATGAGTATCTAGCTCAAGCGGCAGGAAGCTTTTTCTGTGTAGAGCCAAATAGAAAGACTTTAGGTTTTGCTAGCCGAGAGGGAAATTCGAGCATGTTATGTAGGTACTTAAGAGAAAACAAAGCGTCACAAATTTTTAGGCAATAAAACTTAGAATATAATAATTGAATATAGCATTTTTGTAATACAGGTCTGATGGGAAGAACTGGATTCCTCTTTTTGAGGATAACATTTTGCTCAGTTAAGGTTAAAAGTTACAGTATTCTAAATCATCAAACTCATTTGCAAATGCTTGTTAGCATTGATCTGAGAAGAGATTTTACCTATTTGTCTTTGAAAACCTCTTTCACACAGATCGTGAGATAGGTGGCGCTTGAAATGTTGTCCAGTTATAATGGTGTCCTTGTGAGTTGTGGTGTGCCCACAGTGGTGCAGAGATGAGATGCCATATGTGGTGTTGGTGTTGACCTCTCTCCTGTGCTCTTGTGGTGCAGAAGCAGCCCCAGAAGAAGCCAATGAAAGCATGTGGTTGTGCTCCAGTAAAACTTACTTTGCAGACACTGAAATTTGAATCTCCTGTACCTGTTTCAAAAGATTTTTTATTTTTTCCTACTACTTAAAAATGTAAAAACCATTTGGAGCTCCAGGGCTGTACAGAAGCAGGTGGTGGGCTGGATTTGTTTGGTGCATGGGCTGTAGTTTGCCAAGCCCTGGGCTTAGTTCATAGGCTGTCACAGGCGGCCCGTGTCAACACGAGTTAAAGCCTGTAGGGTTTAGCGTGGTGCCCAGGGAGTACGGAGCACTGGCTTTCACCACTGGCATCCTTGAAGATGATCGTTCTCTTGAGTTCTGGCTGGTGATGTGAGGGGTAGGAGTAGGGGGCCTGCTTCAAATTGCTGCCTCTCCTGAGAGTTTGCAGCTGCCCAGCTGTGCTGTCTGATGCGTACATATGTGCGGACCTGGTGTACTGTTTTCTGCATGAGTTCCCTCTAATGGGATCAGTGGATGTTCCTCTTAATTCCTTTCATTGTCAGGCACTCACTGGGCACCTGCTGTGGACTAGGCTCTGTGCTGAGGTTCTGGGGGTACAAGGGTGAATGGGCTGTTGAGCCTGTCATGGGGCAGTATTCTACTTTATGTTCAGAAACGGGACTGTGGTTGACGGAAACGATTAGCCAGGAGACACGCTTAGTTCCTACTAAGTTGTCTTCTGTTGCCCCAGATTTAATGTGTCCATCGCGGGATAGGTCACCCCACTCCCCAGAGTTCCTCCAGGCTTGCTCCTTTTCTGCCACACTTTCCAGTCACCCAGAATTTGACTGGACACCTCCAGCTAGCTCCATTGCCATGTGATCTTCAGCCATCAGTAAGGGCAGGAACCAAATTGCTGTTGACTGGGTGCTTTCTGGGTGCCCAGGCTCTACCGCCTGTTTTGGTGGCATCCTTTCGTTACTGCCCATGCTCCCCTGTGAGGTCCTGGCTGCTTTCCCCTCAAGGGCCTCTCTGAGGTCCATTTCTGTCCATTCTTGCTGCCTCCTATTGAACACATGTGATATTCACAGACACTTTCCAGCCTCTGATTGTTCCTCCTGCTGGCAAGTCCTGGGTGCTGCTGGCAGACTAATCTGCTTTCCTTCTTTTACACTGCTGCTCAGGAATCTCGTACATGAAATGTGAACTCCATCACTTTATTTTCAAATGGTTTCAAAGAAAGCCTGTAAAAAAAAGGGGGGGGGGGTGCCGCCTAGGTGGTTCAGTCACTAAGCGTCTGACCCTAGCTCAGGTCATGATCTCACAATTTGCAAGTTCGAGCCCCGCATCAGGGTCTGTGCTGACAGCTCAGATCCTGGAGCCTGCTTTGGATTCTGTGTCTCTCTCTTTCTCTCTCTGCCCCTCCAGTTGCATGCTTGCATGCTCTCTCAAAAATAAATGTTAAAAAAAATTTTTTTTTTTTTTAAAGTCTGGAAAAGGAATAGCCCAGTAGTCCCCAACTTACAAAAATTTTCCAGATGCTCAGACCCCCTTGCCCTCCCGTAGTTGTACCTTAGGGGCCGAGAGATATGCTTCAACCATTTTTACTCTGTATTTGTGCTAGTTTGGCTTTAGGAGAATGCTTTCTGTGGGCCATTGAACCTATGTTGTTGTTTGCCTTCCCTAGACTGCTTTGGTCAGCTGCTGCTGTGCCCGAGGCCTAATCACGTAGTTTCCTGAGATTTGGTCAATACCTTGAGTACAGCTCTGGTCCTTGATCTTGGCCCAACTCTGCTTATCTCTGGTTCTTCTCAAGAGCACCTCAGATAAGCCACAGGGGCTCAAGATGAGGCTTACTGGCTTCCTCGAGGCATTCTGGAAGCTGGCATTAGGACTGGATGGGATTCTTAGAACTAGACTCTCTTCTGCAGGGTTAGTAGCATGGTAGTGTAGCCTGGATGCCCTCTGGTCAGTGGGCTGGTATTTGTGCAGGGGATCCCAAAGGCAGGTATGTGTGGGGAGAGAAACCAGTATGTTCCCTTGAATTGTGGGTTGACTGAAGGGTGTGACCTGTGTCCCAGGAGCCCTCCGTAATTCCTGGTTTGCATTGATGGTCTTTCCATCTGATGCAGCTGGGGCCCTGATTGTCTTGTGAGGAGAAGTGTCCACCTGGGCCTCTATTCAGCCCCATCACTAGGCTAGTCCCTTTCATAGGAGTCCTTTGGTACCCTCTTCTTTGGCTCACAGCCAAGGCTAAAAAGAGAGTCTGTGGCCCCTTAGCAAACTTACATACCCTGGCCTGGCTGGTCGCCCTTTAGCCTCCCTCTCTGAGGAACATCATGAACATAGAAACTCCAACCTTGGAAAACAAACTACAGTGCACGATTCCTTGAGAGGATTGCCCTCCCTTTTTCCAGGGAAAGGGGGGGTGGGGCAGGGCCTCCTAGCTTATTACTTCATTACTTCCTAAGGTTTTCTCAGGTCCTCACAATCTTCCAGTTGTGGTCTGTCATTGCTGGAGAGCAGTGCTGGGGACTCTGTGTCCTCAGTCTGAGTTTAAAGAGCCCCTGCTGTTTGTCCCCTTGTGATCCTCCTGACATTTCCCACTGATCCCCAAAACAGACCTCTGCTTCCATTTCATCATCTCCACACTCTGATATTAATTCATTTGTACTTGCTATGTTTCTTGAGAATGACCTAGAACAGCGCCTAGAGGTCCTCCCTGATCACTGCTGTTGATCCTTCTCTTTGCTGAGCCACTGTACTCCCTGTGGGTACAGTGGAACATCTCATTTAGGTACAGATGGGTGTGTGCACTGTCCCTTTGATTAAGACAGCAGACACTATTGGGGCGCTTGGGTGGCTCAGTTAAGTGTCTGACTTTAGCTCAGGTCATGATGGTCTGTGAGGTTGAGCCCTGCATTGGGCTCTGTGCTGACAGCTCAGAACTTGGAGCCTGCTTAGGATTCTGTGTCTCCCTCTCTCTGCCCCTCCCCCGTCACATTCTGTCTCTCAAAAATGAATAAACGTTAAAATATTAAAAGAAAAAAAAAGAGGGAGAAGAGACACTAAAGAGACAGGCTGGACTTGAATTCTAGCTCTACCATTCACTCTTACTTGATTATCTTCCTCTGAGCTTCAGTTTCCTCATCTGTAAAAGGGAAATAAAAATTGTTTCTCCCCACCGAGACTTTATGCTTGCACTTGGCTATAGACCTGCACAGTAAGCCCACACTGCAGATTAATTGACCTCCCCATCTCTACCAGGTACATGGCCACCTCTGGCCTGGACCACCAGCTGAAGATCTTTGATTTACGAGGGACGTTCCAGCCTCTGAGTGCTCGGACCCTGCCCCAGGGAGCAGGGCACCTGGTCTTTTCCCAGCGGGGACTGCTGGCTGCAGGCATGGGTGACGTGGTCAACATATGGGCGGGGCAGGGCAAGGCCAGCCTGCCCTCCCTGGAGCAGCCTTACCTCACCCACCGGCTCTCAGGCCACGTGCATGGCCTTCACTTCTGCCCCTTTGAAGATGTGCTGGGGGTGGGGCACACTGGGGGCATCACCAGCATGCTGGTACCTGGTGAGTGGGCCAGAGGATGGGGTCCAGTGAATGAACTCTGGATGGAAGTGTGGGTTGGCTTGTGATAGCCAGGAGCAAAAGGGCTTGGTTGGGCTGGAGCGGCTGGACTTGGTTCTGTTTATAGCTCCATGCTTCTCCCTCTTTTTTTTTTTTTTTTTAATTTTTTTTTAATGTTTATTTTTGAGACAGAGAGAGACAGAGCATGAATGGGGGAGGGGCAGAGAGAGAGGGAGACACAGAATCGGAAGCAGGCTCCAGGCTCTGAGCCATCAGCCCAGAGCCTGACGCGGGGCTCGAACTCACGAACCGCGAGATTGCGACCTGAGCTGAAGTCGGACACTCAACCGACTGAGCCACCCAGGCGCCCCGCTTCTCCCTCTTTCTAGGGGCTGCTGAGCCCAACTTTGACGGCCTGGAGAGTAATCCTTACAGGAGCCAAAAGCAGCGCCAGGAGTGGGAGGTGAAGGCCCTGCTGGAGAAGGTGAGCATGTACCTGCATGTGGTTTGGGCTGGGGGTAGGAAAAGCTCCCCATGGCCCCGGGAGTCTTGGGAAGAGTGGGATTCAGCAGCCCCCTGGCTTCTGTCCCTCTTTGGATCATCCTCCTGTGGCTCCTATGGTTCCTTACCCATTCCTGTCCCTCCGTGACACCTCCAGGTACCTGCAGAGCTCATTTGTCTGGACCCACGAGCCCTGGCAGAGGTTGATGTCATCTCTTTGGAGCAAGAAAAGAAGGAGCGGATAGAGAGGCTGGTATGAATCAGGCCCAAGTGCCCAGGCCCTTCCCCCCTTCACAGCCTCTCCTGTGCCATGTCCCCAGAAGTACGACACAGCACATGGTACTGCCACGGTTCCTAGTCTCTGAGGCTCTTATGGATTTTACCCTTGTCTCCTCTCTTAGGGCTATGACCCCGAGGCCAAGGCTCCTTTCCAGCCAAAGCCAAAGCAGAAGGGCCGCAGTTCTACAGCAAGCCTGGTGAAGAGGAAGAGGAAGGTCATGGATGAGGAGCACCGGGTAAATGATCACTGGGGGGGTGGACCAGGCGTCCCGTGGGCCTCTGCCCTTGCCAGCCTGCCACTTCTCACCTTGCCGCCCTCTCACCACCCAGGATAAAGTCCGACAGAGCCTTGAGCAGCAGCCGCAGAAGCAAGAGAAGAAGGCCAAGCCCACGAGGGCCCGACCATCTGCCCTGGACAGATTTCTGCGCTGAGCCGTGCCCAAGGATGGCCTGAGAGCAACACTTTCCCCCACGACTGCCCGTGGGGAAATGACCCTATTCCTTAGAATAAGGAGGGGGCAGTATGCCCCTTCCCCAGCTGGGTAGGGACAGCTGGCTCCTGGGCTGGGTTGGGATTAAAGAAGAAGGTGGGGTTTTTTTGGATAATGTGTCTAGATCATTCTCAGGACCTGTTCCCCTCCCTTTGCCCAGCATGGGACTACTCTAGGATCTGAGGGGTCACGGTGTCCTGCTTCTACCCCCACCTCATATCTCGTCACTATAGCCTTAGCCTTGTTCTTTAGGGCCCTTCCTCCTCTCTTTCCCATGTCCCTGGAGAGGTCCTTCCCATCCAGCATGGTCTGGCAGTCTCCAGGCTCCCCGGGTATGTGTTCTTGGACTCCTGGTGACGACCACGCTGTACTCGAAGAGGTAGAGAGACAAGTTTATTGAGGAGCTTGTGCCCCTCTCCTATGGCTGGAGAGAACAACCCCAGCATTGTTTTGCTCTTCCTGGTGACCATCTTTGGGGCTGGCAGGCCAGGCCCCTCGATTTCTCTATCTTCAGTGATAGACTGAGCATCTGATAGCAGAAAGTGGCCATCTGTAGCCAGCTAGGGCCCCTGCCGTGGGCCTGGGCGAGAGACGGCTGTAAGGGGTGCTGGCTAGACCCTGAGCTCCTCACTCTGCTGTGGCCCCAGACACTGTCAGCTGTGAAGCCAGGCTATTACCCGACACCGCAGGATGCCCAAGACTCCCTGGAGCCAGGAGCAGAAGGGTGCAGTCTTTTCTCCCTCAGAGCCTCCCACTAGCTTCCAGGCCTCCTGCATCTTCCAGGGGTCCAACCTGTGGGATGTCAGCAGGAATTTCCCATAGCAGCACCGGTCCAGGGGGTAGTGGGTGGCCCCAGCCAGCTTGACACAATGGGTTGGGGTGAGGCCTCCTCGTCGGGCACTTACCCCCACAAAGACATCTTCCAGTGGTAGAGGGGGTGCCCGGCTGGCCACTTTCAGGATGAGCTGCACGGCAGAAGCTGACAGCACATACCCTGTGCCAGAGGCATAGGGTGGAAAGGGGCCCCAGGTGGGAGGCCACTGCTCCTCTGATACCTGGTGTTTGCTCCCTGGTGTCCGAGAGGGGTGCACCCGCCAGTGCACACGGCCCAGGTACAAAAGAGGCATTGGCTGGCCCCTGAAGATGGACCTTTCTTCCCACTCTTCATCTTCAAACGTATTCTCTTTTGGAGGCTCCATGCTTTTCTCCCATTGTTCCCAACGGCCCCCTCGGCGAACCAGCTCCGATACCAGTTCAGGGACGTTGACAAACACGTCATCATCCGTCTTGAGGATGTAGCGGGCCATGGAACAATGTTTGTATGCCCAACTCAGCCCGATGAGAGTCTTGAGAGTAAGGTTCCGGTAAGAGTCCCGGAAAGCCGCCTGCAAGATGTCTCCCCGAGTCGCTGCCTCTCGTGCCAGGTCGATCTCGTGGGATTCCCTGGTGGGATGCCGCAAACTTGGCTCTCCCAGCAGAAAGAGTGTCTGCACCCTGAGCCCTCGGGCTTCGCGCAGCCCGCCCCACGAAGCCCGAATGGCGTCTCTTTGGTTCAGGTTCTCTGGGGCCGTGCACACCAGTATGAGCAGGAAGGGTGGGGCGCCGGGACCCCCACATGCCTCCTCATTGGGGATCACGAGGCGGGGCAGGGCCAGGGGCGGCCCTGGGGACGCCGGCGCCGGGAGCAGGGAGGCCAGTGAGAGGCTCAGTAGCTCCTCCCCGATGCCTGAGGGCCCGAAAAGGGTCCAAATAATCACCAGCATCAAGGCAGCAAGGAGAAGGCGCCGGAAGAGGCTGAGGGGCATGGTGTGGCGTAATCAGAAGGGACCTAGAGGGAAAGATGGGGGCGGTTAGAGTGCGGAAGCCCCAGATCTCCGTGATCTGGGTCCGTAACCGGCCACGCCTGGGATGGAGCGCGCGGCCAGTACCGGCGCCGGGAACGGGGTGGGGGCGCCTAAGCCCAGGAGGCGGCGCGGCCGCGGGGGGGCGTGGGGTAGCACAGCCGGAGCTGCGGGGAGGTTACCTTGTCGCCGGGGCCCCGCCATCCCAAAGCTCGGCTCCATGGCGGGGTTTCGCCACAGCGCCAGTCGCCCCTCCTCCACCCGCGGTGGCGGCTGGGTCCCGCCCTCCTCCCTCGGAGAGTGTAGTGGCGCGTGCACACCGCCTTCCCGGAAGCGTAGAGGCAAGCGAAATACCGGTGGCGGGGCTTCTGTGCGACCGCGAATGGGATTCGGATCAGTGTGCCTCGTACGCAGAGGCGGGCGCGGGGCAGCCTACCAGCCGCGGCCTCCCTCCCCAAGTACGCAAGCGCCCCCTCGCTCTGCTGCGGAGCCCAGTTCTTCCGGGTCAGCGATTTATAGGGTTGCCTCGGTAGGGGAAGCTCACAACTCTCCGGGTCTCCGCGGGCCACTTCTTTTTTTCCTTAAGAAACCGAGGTTTGGTCAAGACCTGTGGTACTCTCACTTGCCACACCGCCCCACGCGCTAACCCGAGAGCCTTGGTTGTCTGGAAATTGGCTTAGGCTCCCCCTCCTAGGCCGAGTGTTTTCTCTACCTCACACCTTAGAGGGTGGGAACCAAAGAGGGTGCGCCACTTCAGGTAGGACGGGGAGTAGCAACGCCATTGCTTTACCCTAGACCCAGGGCACCTGGTTTGGGTAGCTGAGTGAGGCCATCAACTGAGAGGAGAAACACCCAAAGGGCCCACTGTGGTAGCTTTCCGGATCAGTGTCCCCAGAATAAAGGAGAGAACTACATACAAAGAAGACTTAGGTGTATAAACCATTTATTAACAGACAAGGCCTACAGATTTATTTCTTCTTGGACACACCCACGGTGCGGCCCCTGCGGCCTGTGGTCTTGGTGTGCTGGCCTCGGACACGAAGTCTGCAGGTGAGAAGAGAGAAAGGTCACAGGTCACACACAACATAAAGGAAACACTTGGGGGGCATGAGAAACCTCTGGGAGTCTAGGGGCAGGCAGGGAGAGGAGACTCCCACCCCACTCACCCCCAGAAGTGGCGCAGCCCTCTGTGGGCCCGAATCTTCTTCAGTCGTTCCAGGTCTTCACGGAGTTTGTTATCCAGACCATTGGCCAGGACCTGGATTTGGAAGAGCAACGTTTTACCCACTGACCTCCTAGGACTAATTCTAATGGGACACCCTGCCTTTCTCTAATCTCTCCCATTTCAATACACACCTGGCTGTATTTTCCATCCTTCACATCCTTTTGTCTGTTCAAAAACCAGTCTGGGATCTTATACTGGCGTGGATTCTGCATAATGGTGATCACACGTTCTACCTGTCAAGCAGGACAAAGGTCAGATACAGATGGCCTCCCTTCCAAGGCAGGCCCAGCCCACAGCACCCCCTTCCTTGTCCTCACCTCATCCTCAGTGAGCTCTCCTGCCCTCTTGGTGAGATCGATGTCTGCTTTCCTCAACACCACATGAGCATATCTTCGCCCTACACCCTGAGGAGAGGTTTTGTAATTTGGGGTTGAATCTGATTTTTTTTTTTATTGTTTGTAAGCCCCACTATTCAGCCTGCAACCACCCACCGCACTATACTTTTTTAGATACAAAGCCTAACCATTAAACAGAAACGGTTTTATTCAGGAGCGGGTCCAAAAGAAAGCACATCTTTTCATACTGCTCAACACATACATCCATCAAGTGATGGCTCTTAAGACACTGCAGCAGCACCCAAGAATGGTACCTTCTAGTCTCTGCGTTGTGGAGGACCAAAGGCTTGGCTCTCAACGTGGATGCAGCAGCAAGAGTAAGGACTTTTGGGGTAATAGGGTTGATCAAGGGGTGGGATTGTGGTGCTCTGGGTCTCTAAGGCCCATAGTCCTTTGGGCAGGTCACCTCATCGCAATGATTAGTTTTCTAAGATCACAAACTTGATGGTCTGTGCTCAGAGATGAGCAGGCCACAGGGAGCTAACCACCCAAACCAAACTCAAGAAAACTAACACACTGGTGGCATTGTGCCGGCATCAACACGGGTACTTTGCCACCCAAACTTGCACCTGAATGGTGAAGGATGGTGTGCCAGGTTGAATAGTGCCCCTCCCCTCACTCCACTGTATGTCCACCTAGAATGTGACCGTATCTGGAAAAAAGGTCATTCCAAATATACCTAGTTAAAATGAGGTTAGACCAGATTAGTGCAGGCCCTGAATCCAATGACTAGTATCCTCACAAAAAGAGAAGACGCAGACCAAAGGCCATGTAGTAAGAAGAGCGACACAGCTACAAGACAAGAAATAGCAAGGACTGTTGGCAACCACCAAAAGATTGATTCCTAGAGCCTTCTGAGGGAGCTCACACCTTGATTTTGGATGTTTGGCCTCCAGAACTATAGGAATAAGTTTTCTGTTGGTTTAAGCCAAGAAGTAGCTTGTTTCAGTAGCCCCAGGAAACGAAGACTTATTTCCTCTCTGTAAGAAATGACCTGGAATATCAAATTATCAGAAGATATTAAAGTCTAAGCCTCTCATTTACAGATAGGGGTGCCTGGGTGGCTCAGTTAAGCGTCCAACTTGACTTCCAGCTCAGGTCATGATCTTATAGTCTGTGGGTTCAAGCCCTGCATAGGGTTCTGCGCTGACAGTGCAGAGCCTGTTTGGCATTCTCTCTCCCTCAAAACAGATAAATGTGAAAAAAATAAAAGATTTACAGATAAAATAGTATGTCTGAGGTTTACTTTAAAATGATAGGGAATGGGGCGCCTGGGTGGCGCAGTCGGTTAAGCATCCGACTTCAGCCAGGTCACGATCTCGCGGTCCGTGAGTTCCAGCCCCGCGTCAGGCTCTGGGCTGATGGCTCGGAGCCTGGAGCCTGTTTCCGATTCTGTGTCTCCCTCTCTCTCTGCCCCTCCCCCGTTCATGCTCTGTCTCTCTCTGTCCCAAAAATAAATAAACGTTGAAAAAATAAAAAAAATAAAATGATAGGGAAGAGTGTAGATAAAACAAGAGTTCATATTTTTAGACGATATTCATAGGGGCTAGTAATTTTCTGCCCTCTACTTTTCAATGTTAAAATTTTTCCATAATCAAGTTAAAAAGTTGCTGTTAAGCTAAAATTTTTGAAAGCCCTGTTTGCAGACTGATACAAACTCGCCAACTTCCTAGGTTAGGACCCTATATCCCCCTTTCTCAGCCAAGGAGACCACCTCTGTTTTCTCCATCCAGAAGAGTATACTCAGGGGACCATCACTCATTATTTGTAGCCCAATGGCCTAGACCATATAATAGAAGAGTTGGCACCAAATTAATATTACTCTCAGAAAGTATTTAATGCGGTGTTCCTCATGGGACAGGACCTGAATTCTTCACACATGGCCAGTGGGTTACTTCCCAGGTTTCCAAGTAACCCACAGATGGCAGTATCACCCTGATTTAGAGGAAAGGCAGAAAACCAGCCAACCTTAAATAGACACAGCAAAAGTCTTCAAGTGGAAACAAAACAATTAGGAAAGGATCGTTGGTATACAATAATCTGATAAGGTCTGTATTATTTCTCAATATCCTCTTCTGCTTGAGTCAGTTTCCATTCTTCATCCTTCCCCATCCAATTAATCTTACCATTTGTTTTTTTTTTTTTGAGGAATCCCTCCTCATACCCAGCCTCCACTTTCTTCCAGTTTCTAATTATTACCCCCCCCCCCCCCAATTCTGGATCCTTAGAAAAGACCCTCTCCAAGCTTTAGTTCTCTCACCAAAGAGCTAGGTCCATTTGCTGGCTCTCCACACAATTAGCAAAAACCTCTGTATCGTCTATCTCTAGGAATAACCTTTCCCAGTGATAAGCAAAGTGTAATAAGAGACTTATTGCAAAACTCACAAATTACCTTTAAGTCCTTTGGTTAAATTGTTAAGTGGACTACAAACACATATTTAATGAAAGTAAATACAAAACCAGTTAATTTCAAAGAGGCAGAGAGAAAGGGATTAACACAAGCATTCCATTAGCCATCACCATCTTTTATACAGGCACATCTCATTTCGTTGCACTGTGCAGATATTGTGGTTTTTGTTCTTTTACACAATGAAGGCTTATGGCAAATTCTGTGTCAAACGAATCTATCGGTGCCATTTTCCTAAAAGCATTGTGCTGGTGTCACATTTTGGTAATTCTCACAATATTTCACTTTTTAGTTAAACGTTATAGTCATTATAGTGATCTGTGATTATGACTCCTTGAAAACTCATGATTAGCATTTCTTTCAGCAATAAAGTATTTTTAAATCAAGGTACACACATTTTTTTAGACATAATCCTACACACTTAATATTGACTACAGTGTAAATATAACTTACATACGCAACAAGAAACCAAAAGATTCATTTGACTCACTTTATTGCCTGGAACTGAGCCTGCCATATACATCTCTATGCTGTGCCTGTCTGTATTCACTATCCCATTTTAGCCTCATACCAACGCTTGAAAAAGGTACTATATTTTACACCATCTTACTAGTTTCACATAATAACCAAAGAAAGCAATCTTTTTATACACCGTTTAAGAAAAAACGAAAGCTGTGCTTCCTGCAGTATAACATGAAAAAGCAAAGGAATTTGATCTGATGAATCAAAGCTAGGATATACAATTCTAAATTAACAAGTTATTTTATATTTGTCTCCTTTAAATTTTTTGAAACCAGGCTACAGTATCCTGGATCCATTCCCTAACACTGCATAAATACACCAATTATGCACCAGAAGCAGGGGATTGTGAGCAAGACAGGGACTATACCCGCCCCCATGATGTCCACAGAAGGGTTTCGAGAAAACACACTCAGCCGTTCCACAATTATACGTACGGGCCAAAAAATACAATAGAATAATGTCTCCATCTGGAAGGCCAGTTCATCAGGTTGGTGAAGGGAATCATCCAAGCCTGTGCTCCCTGACCTAATTCACAGAATGAACCAAACACTTGTTCCCATCAACAGAAACAGGAAATGCGTTTCATTCACCTCCGGCATCAGAGTTAAACAACCTGCTCATGATGTAGTGACACCCTCCTACTTCCCAACTATTGGTTTCTTCATGCTGGGAATCTGTTGGCATTTCTATGTACCCCCCCCATGTGCAATTATACAATTTCTAGGGTGTATGTATTCCCACAGTGATGGCTGCTGTTATGATGCACTCCTGTAGGAATCAGAAACCAAATTTAGAACAAACCTCACAAGAGGATCATGGCTGATGGTCCAGTAAAATTTTAGTGAATTCTGGTAGACAAGGGAACCCACTCCCTTTCCCCTAAAAGTATCTTGGCTTCTACTCAGACTGTTC